ATTATAAATAAAATCTTATAAAATTTTATTATTATTCTTTTTATATATTTAAATAAAGTTAAATTTTATATAATTTTTTAAAGCTATATAATTTTAAAGAACCTTCTATAGCTTATAATATATATACTTTTAATTATATATAATTTAGAAAATTAATATATAATATAAGATATATTTCTATATATAGTTTAAACTTTATATATTATTATTAAATTTTTTATATACTAAATAATCTTATTATAAAAAAGATAGAATTAAAATAGATAAATTTCTAAAGATACTTAGTTTTCTTAGAGAATTCCTAAGAAATAGAAGTATTTCTTTAGAAAATAATAAAATTTATTAATTTAAATTTTAAATTATAGAATATACTTATATCTAGAGGTTTTAAATTAGAAAATAAAATCTATATATATATATTAATAGTTAAATAAAATTATTAAAATACTTATAAAAAGTAGATCTTTATATTATAAGATATATTTAAGAATAAAGTTTATAGTTTTATTTTAAATAAATTTAACTTTTATTAGTAATATATAGCTTTATATAGCTTATATAAGCTAGTAAATAATACTAGATATATTTCTATATATAGAGAAAATAAAAAAAATATTTATAAAAAGTGGGTCCTTATATAGAGCTAGTTATCTAGGTTTATAAGAGATAGATTTTAGAAGGGAAGTTGCGCGAGAGTGGGGTATGCGCAAGGGCTGCGTCAATTATGTTAGGTACTTATCTTTTACCGGTATTTTACCTTTTCATCTTTTATCAAGGTACCGAGGCACTTGACTCCGTAGGTAGACAGCGACGCGAAAACACGCGCCAAATTTCTAGGCTTAATTGATTTGGGAGGGTGACATTCATGAGGCGCGTCTTCTTCGATCGGCGTCAATACTTTCTTTATTCAATTGTTCCCTGTTTCTCTTATTCTTGGCCCTCCTGATAACAACACAAAGTCCCACCAATTTCCTCAATCCTTGCGAGCTGCTTCACCACCTTCCTCATCATGAGCGGCAACCTCAATTTCCATGAACATACCCTCCATCGTCAGCTTGGCTACTCCCACACAGGTGAGGAGGGGTTCTTTGCCCGGAATCCATTTCTTGATATTATTGCACATGTGCATGAGATCCTCATGCTGGGTTTCGGGAATATAATAGGCCGTGATGCGGTACACCTGGGACCAGCCCTTGCCCCCCGCATCCTTGAGGGCGAGGTCAATGTTCTTGAATATCTGATCAATTTGAGTCTTGACGTCCTTGCTGACTTCCCCAGTTTCCGTGTCCCAGCCGCCTTTGTAGATAACCGGAATGTTAGTGGATTAAGAACTAAAACTTAGTGGGATAGTAGTGTCTTACCTTGTCCAGAAACCTCGATGCGGTCACCAATGCGAATAGACTGGTGGTAACAGTGCTGTTTGAGGAGAACCTGGCCCATTCCTGGGTAGGCAAAGTGCTGGCATTGGACCATCGTGAAAATGAGTAGTCTTCTGACTCGAGGGGAGGAGGTCAATCTCCTGGCTGATTCGTGAGAAATCTTAGGAGGTGAAGGTAAGATGGCTTGAAATGAATCCGTGTAGAGCAAATCGGAGATTTCCTTGCTTCTAGCTTCCCCTTCCGTGATTAGAGTTAAATAACACGTTGAAGATACGTCACTTGATGTGACACGACCCTGTTTTCTGATTCAAGCTGTCTGTTCGTTTCGTCAGTATGTGATTCGCTGTAGGAGTTCGGAATATGTCGAATTTGGTCGGGCCCGGACCATTTCGGGCATGGCCCCCTTTTTTGCCCAAAACCATTAAAGGGCTACCCTTGACGGAAATGTTATGGTAGGTTACAACGGAATACGGATTTAGAAGATGTAAGCCATGGAGCAATTGGGAGGAGAGTCAAAAAGAACTCACAGGATAGCTGGATAGTGACATTGCTAATTCCAACATGTTTCTTGGTTCTAATCCCCTCTGATTGAGTAAATACTGGTGATAACTGTCTTTTCCAAGCCCTAGCATTGCATATCGCCATCATGTATCAACAATTTTACATGGGCAAAGAGCCCACAATCAAACGCGAGTCGGTAGACTTGTCAAGCATCAAGACACTTAGGCAGCTTCAGAGTAGTCTTGGCCAAATATTTGCATGGGCAGATTCGAGCTGTAAGTGAGATTTGGTCCCTAAGTTTCTTAGTTTAGAGGTCTTCCGACGTGCCGTGGCTATAGTCGTGATATTGACCTGACTGTGTAGCAATCCTTTTCCATAGCGAGAGTCAAGGCAGCCTTGACTCCCTCGAGGCTATCGGGTCAGCCAAGGAGGCTATCGAACTACGAGTGGCAGGAAGAACGTCCGTGCAGTCTCCTCCAGGACCTAGAGTTCTTCCAGTCGTCGGAAATCACTATGAACTTTATCCAGACCCATTGGGGAACTATGATAGACTTTTTGCTCGCCTTGGCCCCGTTATTAAAACAACCAACATGGGGACAACGATTTATATTACGAACGACGCAGAGATTTCAAGGCATGTGCTCCGGGAAGGCGAATTCTTTACCAAGACGACTTCGGACCCATCCCACCCGCTTTTTTACATGAGAGAACAAACTGCACTCTTTACCTGTGACAGCGAGTCGCCCGCCTTCCCACTCGCCCACAAATTTGTGCCGCCCGCGCTTTCACCCCGTGCAATTGCGCATTATGGCCCTCTCATCCAAGACGCGGCGCGAGGGGTCTTGAACGTCTTCGAAGAGATGTCGGAACGCGCACTTGCGTGTAATATCTATCAGTACATGTTCAAGCTGGCCGGTCAGCTTGTTTTCCGTGTGATGGTTGGCAAGGACTTGCAACACTTCCAAGAACTTAATACCCCGCCAACCTTGGCCATCCGTCTCTTTGGCGAATACCTAAAACTAATGAAGAAGACATCTTTGCGGCCACAGTGGCATGGATACTTGCCGTTTGGCGAGCCTGCCCGCCTAAGAGTCGTTAGAAACCTTCTCTTCAGCACTATCGAGACTGAGATGGATAACGCGACGACAAAGGGTGCCGAACCTCTGCCACTGAATGACCCCATGTCGCCCATTAAAGCGGCGTGCGTGGCTGACTTCCTCGCACGTGCTCGAGATACAGACGGCCAGGGGCTTCCTCGGGATATTCTTCTGGGAAACACAGTGGTCCTCCTGGGCGCTGGTTTCACCACTACGTCTTCGTTGCTCTCATGGGCTATCTACTCCCTAGTCAAATATCCGGGGAATCAGCAGCGTCTACTCCAGGAGCTAGTTGACCATGGGGCAGACGGCGAGCGGAAATGGTCCCATGATGAGTTGCACGCAATGAAGTTTATGGACTGCTTTGTCAAGGAGACGATGAGGCTCCACAGCCCCAGCTTCCAGACCGGTCGCAATGCGAAGACCGATGTGGTTCTGCCGGGCGGCTATCTCATTCCGAAGGGATCGATTGTGATTCCTTGCTTCCCGACCATTCATAAGAACCCAGCCTACTGGGACAATCCAACGAGGTTCGAACCGGACCGCTGGCTCGATCCGACTGTCGCTACTACGGCTACACGCAAGGGAATATACTCGCCTTTCGCCGCAGGCGCAAGAGGATGTGTTGGATTTAACCTGGCAACTATGCAGGTGAAGATGGTTTTGGCGGAACTTGTCTACCGCTACGAGTTTGAGGATGCGTCTACGGAGCCAGTCATATACGATCCCGAGTTCCTTGTGGTTAGACCGTTGAATTTCTATGCTAGTCCAATCAGGAGAACGGAATGGCCGTCTCGCTCTACGGCGACCAAGTAGGGTAGTGGTGACTATTAGAGGGAGATCGCGGGATGTGCAATTGTCCGGATTGGATTTGTCAATATGTTTAATAAAGAGCTGCCCTAGGTCCTATGTGTAGGCCTCCGCCATGTTTTGAGGTTTGCATGCTTGTATTCAATGTAGGAATGACACCATGCTCTCCCAATGCTGATCAATTATTTTAATCTCTTGCAAACCATCAAGTCGAATGCCGTATTGTTCTATTTCTGGATCCCGCACACAGAGTAGGAGGACACTTGGCGGGAGCTTGCTTAATCTGGCACGGCCCGTTCCGTTTTCGGCTCACCGTTAGCCAAGGCGGGAAGTCCCTATTTTAACACAATACAGAGAAAATACGTTTCGGCAACGGCACTGCTCGGCTTGATCAAATTGACTTACACAGCTCAAACAAGGTAGAGAAAGGGGTCGAATAGTCAGAAGACTCGCTTAGAAGAGGCTATCTGCCTGAGTATGGTAAGTTCGTTTTGGGAAGAGTATCTTAGGCAACACCTTTGAGATAATATCTCCGGTTAACAACCTCTTATTAGTGTTCTTGATCAAGTTCATTGCTGATTCATGTCCCTGAGCCACCAAAATTTTCTCACTTTGTTTTAAATTAAGTTTTTGGTTCATATTAGCTTGGGTCAGTACCGCAATAGGGCGTTCAAGAACACGATGTGTGGAATCACGGTCTGCGTGGCTTGTTCACAACCTGTGAGAAACGGGCTCATAAACGGATTCACAAATGGCCATACCAATGGTCATACCAACGGCCATGTTAATGGGAATTCAAAAAGCTCATTAAGAGAGAAAATGCAAGCTTCCATTAGCATGATCAACCACCGCGGGCCTGACGAGACAGGCATATGGATCAGCGACGACTCCAAAATTGCTCTGGGCCATTGCCGTTTATCTATCAATGATCTCTCTCCCAGCGGTAGACAGCCACTGGCAAGCGATGATGGCCAGATACACGCCGTTGTCAACGGTGAGATCTACGACTGCGACAGGCTGCGAAAGTTGTGCTCAAAACAACACAACTACACATTCTCTAGCGAGAGTGACAGCGAACTTGTTCTCGCTCTGTACAAGATCTACGGGGCACCAAACTTCTTTCAACATCTCCGTGGAGAGTTCGCCTTTGTGATTTGTGACGAACGTGGCGGAAAGAGACGCGTGATTGCTGCCAGAGACAGATATGGTATCAAACCACTGTTTTGGACCAGATCAGGAGACAATATCTTGATGGCGGCCGAAGCCAAAGCGTTTCTGCCACTTGGATGGACAGCGAGATGGGATGTCAAGGCTATAGCTACTTCTGGTTGGCAGCTTGATGACCGGACTCTGTTTCAAGGCGTCAAGAAGCTTCTTCCCGGTCACTGGATTGAACTCACTGAGGAGGATGGGATCCAGATCCATCGATACTGGGATGCGGAATATGAAGATAAGGTACGATTTTGCCCCTCATTGCCATTCTATCGTTCCCTGCAACGCGAACTGTATTTGACTACCTATAATCTAACCATGACTTTAGAGAAAAGTTGAGACAAGAACCATGGATGAAATGGTGCTCGGCGTTCGCGAGCGACTTGTTGAGAGCATCCGCCTTCGTCTCCGCGCCGACGTCCCTATTGGGGTCTATCTTTCAGGTGGCATCGACTCCTCTGCGGTTGCGGGAATCGTCACTCAGCTAGCAAAAGAGAACAACGTAAAGATAGGAAGTCAGGAGTCACCAAGGCTTGCCTGCTTTAGTGTCGGGTTCCCTGGCTCGGGATTCGACGAGTCCGGCATCGCAGAGCGCACAGCACAATTTCTTGGCCTGGAAGTCATCAAGAAGGAGGTGAATGAGGACACTCTGGCTCGTGATTTTTCCGAAACGGCCTATCACTGCGAACACCACCATTTCGATCTCAACTGCGTTGCCAAGTTTGCTCTTTCAACGCTGCCACGCGAGCATGGCTTCAAGGTTGTTCTCACTGGCGAGGGCGCCGACGAGCATTTTGCGGGATACCCCTACTTTCCTGTAGAGTTTCTGCGCGAGGAAGACTACGCCATGTCAGAATCCGTACTGGCTAGTAACTCAGAGATACGGAAGAAACTATTCGGGTCAGTTGACACGGATATGAGGGCAATCTTCCAAAACTTGGGCGCAGCTGCCGAAGGAGCAACCGATGACTGCCCAGCTATGGGTGAAGTCGGAGAGACTACTGTTCCATGGACCCTGCTGGTCTGGCATGCAAAGAGGCAGCTCTTCTCGCCATGGGTGCGAGATCGAGTTCAAGGGCTCGACTACAGACAAACGGTGATTGAGTCTTACCCGCAGGACGCGAGGGCTAAGATGCGTTCGCGCTGGCATCCTCTGCACTCGGCGCTCTACATGTGGAATAGGGCAACACTATCTAACGTTCTGCTCTCCTGCTTGGGTGATCGGACAGAAATGGCACATAGTATCGAGGCACGCACTCCGTTTCTTGACCACCATCTCACTGAGTACGTGAACCGGCTGCCACCAAGCGTCAAGGTTTCACTTTCCAGACAGGTGCTTCAGGAGACAAATGGCAACGAAGCAGAAACTGGCGGCAGAGATGACCAAGGCCCGTTGTGGAAGAAGGCGGCTCCCGGATTGACGTCGTTTTCGGAGAAGTGGATTCTTAGAGAGGCCGTACGACCGTACATCACGGATGAGCTGTATCAACGCAAGAAGCACCCCTTTTTAGCACCAATGAAATGGCCAAGAGATGGCTCACTACACAAAATGTTGTCTGAACTACTGACCCGGGAATCTGTGGAGGCACTGGGCTTCGTCGATTATGAGGTGGTGGAGAAGTCGATGGACCTTGCATTTGGTGATGAGGCGGACACTGGAGCCTTCCGGTCTTTGTTGTACGTGGGTGCATGGGTCACTCTGTCAAAGAAATTTGGTATTGAGAGGGTTGACATGAGCTCCTGGACGCACTGAGCATTGTTACAATCGAGCACCTATAGAATTAGCCATTTCCTATCATTCGTATGTTAATGAGTTGTAGCTTAAATCGACCTGACCTCACATGAAACATAAAAATAATAGTCAAATAGAGCAACTGGTCTCCAATGCTTAACACAAATGGCCTTGTAAGACGCGTGCTGTCAAATGTTCAGGCTCGGTGTGTCCTATTATGGAAGCGGCGCGGCCTTAAAAGTTGATGCCGATCCCTAGAGCGACCCCATTGGGGCAAAACACAGGAGTCAAGACGTATTGGTGGGATCCATACGTGCCTTGCATGATTAATTACATGGCTGATGAAAATTATCTGACTTGAGGCTTGATAAAAAACCATACTGTTTTCTGTCGAGTGTTTTTTTTTCACTTTCACTTATATCACCGATATCATCTTCGGGGTGCTCGGCCATCCCCCCCAGTTGGGCACTCAGCCATGGTCACAATGGGAAATTCTCTAAGAAGAGCCATTCTTTTTGGTGTGATGGGTGTCGCTGCCATTTCCAATGCCAGCGATTTTAACTTGACGCCATTCCAAATAAATCTGTCAGCTGGCGTCCCACGTATGTTGGAGTTTATCAATGACACCATTCTTCCTGCCCAACCTGCCTATCCAGGGCTTGGAGATTCATTGGGGATTGATCTCGATGTGGTCAAGTCGCTCAAAAACCAGTGGCTAGAAGAGTTTGACTGGAATGCGGAGCAGAGGGATATGAATCTGTGAGTCAATCAGAGCACATCATCACAGTCCAGCCAATAACCAGTGGCCAGGCTCCCTCAATATACAGCAGAGATAGAGGGTCACAAAATTCACTTTGTTCACGCAAAGTCTCATGACCCCGATGCGATTCCTCTGTTGATCAACCATGGCTGGCCAGGATCTTCGTTCCTCGAGTTTGAGCCCATCATTGACAAACTCACCACGGTTGTCCACACCTCTCACTCAGGTCTGGATAAGAAGGTGTCATTTGATGTCATAATCCCATCTCTGCCTGGATTTGCATTCTCATCTCCTGCACCCAAGAATTGGACTCTTGACGACACGGCCCGCATTTACAACAGGCTCATGACCGAGGTGCTCGGATACCCAAAATTCGCAGTTCATGGAACGTCGCATGGTGCCGCAATCGCATACACCTTGTATGAGGATTACTCGAACACCACAAGAGCAGCTCACTTTAGTTTCATTCCATTCTTCCCACCTACGGGGGAACAAGTCAAGGCCATGAATATTTCCCTCACACCGTTGGAGAAGGATATGCTAGATCGGTCTGATGAATGGAGCAAGACGGGAAACGCGTATTTCTTATTGCAACAATACCAGGTGAGTTCTCAGACTTTTATTATCATCCCGGATACCACTGAGAGATATAGCAACTGACGGTTACATCTTGTGCAGCCCAACACTATCGGCCTCGCACTGCAGGACAATCCCATTGGTTTACTCTCTTGGATTGGGGAGAAATATATTGAGTGTGAGTATTTTCAGAAAACTGGCCCTCTCGCATTATTCTGGGCACAATAATATAAAGTATTCATGCTTACAAACATTCAGGGTCTAATCCTAGTGCCGGGACCCCCCCTTCACTTCTCACGCACAACGAGATCCTCAGATGCGTGTCCCTATATTTTTTGACTAAATCGTTTATTACGTCCATTTTTACGTATGCGCAAAATCCCACAGCCTTTCGCTCCGTCTACACCAAAGCCCCGACCACAGCACCGATGCTACTCAGCCAGTTCAGGTACAATGTTGGGTATTGGCCGCGTCAGATTGCGGAGTCAGTTGGAAACCTGGTTGAGTATAGGAGTAAGTATTATAACGCGACATACCGCTTATCTTAGAGTCGATTTAGTCTAACACGAGAGTCTAGATCATGAGTCTGGTGGCAACTTCCCTGGTTTGGATAACCCTGAAGCTCTGATCAGTGACATACGACGCATTGGAGAATACTGGGCATAGGATGGGAAACAGACAACTGAAACTCAAAGGAAGTAGAATTAGTATCAATTTGTTACTAAGGGAACTTTTGAAAATGCTGAATACCATCTACACACGGGGAAGCTAATGGGCAATAGAGTGATCAAGTGAGGTAATATCACAATAGTTCCACTAATGAACAGAGAGAGTTAGAAAGAAAGAAGGCCTCTAAAAGGCGCCTCGATATAAATATATTTACAATTCTCAACGGCGCGATGCTAAAAAAGAACATCTAGGATGAAGTCTCTAGGCTAAAGTCGAGAGACTCGAAATCTGAACCTCCCGCCAATTCCACAACGCGGCCCAGGTTGCCCCTGGTCCTATAGCGATTTGACCAAGAAGCAGCAATAACATGGCCTTGATCGCGCTCTGGGTTGAAATAAAGCCTTTTGCCCGTAGATCCCATATTGAAAACACGCCGTACGTTATGGTTGCAAGAATCATAAATTCAAATTCGGTGTCCAGAATACGCGCAGATGGCAGCTGTCTTAGAACCGATGAGCGACCGTATATTGTACCCTGTTTCGTCGATATATTTAGCATCTGCCTAGACTGCGAAATATTTGCTATATGCAAAACGGCTTGGACGACCATCACAAACTTATACGCAAATTGGAGAAAATGCACGTCGTTATTCTGGTACCGTTCGACGACTTGTCCTACTTCCTTTGCGTGGTTTTCGTTCGGCTTAGTTATCAACGAAGTAGATGCCATGAGAATCGGCAAGATTAAAGGAGAATATCGTGTCAGTCTTCTCAGATCGGTGGAATCCGAACTAGTTGATGCAAGGTATTCAAGTGCTACCCCTGGCACGTAGCCGAAGATCAGTCCTGAAAGCAACCACTTGGCCGCATGGGTTGGAACGACCCGCCCAGAGGGACTAATCGAGAAGAAGGAGCTCAATATGGCGTATAGAGGCAAGACTTGAGGGAGGCCCCAAACCTGAAGACTGGTTGTAAACAGAGAAGGGAATCCAATCAGCGAACCCCGGTTCCCGCTCCTGTAGCCTTCAACGAGAAATACTAGAAGAGATGTCAAACCATTGAGCTTGGCTTGCATGAACTGCATCTGTTATATTGTCAGACTGGGTCCTACTGTATGTTTCATTTTGCTCATTAAAATGCGGGAAGATATACCTGGCATGAGCTAATGTATTCTGGCGCCTGGTTCGTATGAAATGCAGTGTATTTCCACCACAGTGCTCCCATCGCAGTTGCGTGAACTAGGCGTAGAAGAGCCATTTTCCAAGTGGAGAATGGCTTTTGTAAGAGTTCGTGCTCATATGGGACCGCTCGAGGCCGGATAGGTATAGGCAACCGTCTGATACGGGAGCCGCCGACAATGCGAAGCCCAAGGTTTCGCAAGGAACGCTCCTCACCCATCATCGGTGCAATGATCTTCCACACAACATACGAGAGGAGTGGTTTCTCAGAAGCGAACAGGGCCTGCATGGCGTGCGAAGACTTGACGGTGAACTTGGCCCGCTCATAGCGAGCATCCTGCATTCGAGTAAAGACCGAGTCAAAGTCCGCATCGGTCATCTCGCGCAACCGCACAGAGCGGTCACATCCGGCGTCCAGCAAGGCATTTATCAGTTCTGCAACAGACTCGATGGCGCCGTTGCCACCCATTCCGCCAATGGGGTTTGGCTGAATCCATAGTTAGTGAACGAAGTCAATTATCAGGCCAGAAACATCCAAGCTACCTTGTGTGCTGAGTCTCCAACAAGCAACATGCGCTTAAAAGACCATTTTTGGAATACAATTTCGTGAAGAGGCGTGAGAGTCGAGGTCAGACGCTGAGAATAGACCTGACCGAAGGTAAGATTCTCTGTGATGACAAAACCTTGGTACTCTTCGACAAATTTGGCTTCATCATCCTTTGTATATCTCGGTATGTCTTTGCCATAAAGAATTTTTGGTAGTCTCACGAAGAGGAACCAATAGACGCGGTTCTGAGGTCCAGAAGCCACCAGAAACGTTGTCCCATGTCCAATAGTGAAGCACTGCTCGCTGTTGTGCCACTGAGTAACATTCTGCGCAATTCCAAAACTGCATTTATAATGGCAGGCCACCTGCTCCTCAGAACCTTTCGGAAAGATGGATGTCGGAGTTTCGGATGTGATACGGGCCATTTCTCTTCTTACAACACTATGTATTCCATCGGCGCCAACAACCATGGCTCCCGAGTACACTTGGCCGCGTGCTGTGAGGATCTCAATTCCAGAGTCGGTGTGCCTAATCGACTTGATACCGCTGTTGAGAAGAATCCGGTCTTTGTGTTTTATCTGGTTATAAAGGACTTGCAATAACCATTGACGATCGAAAAATAACATGGGGTATCCGTGCCTGATTTTTAATCAGTATTGAGAGAACTCCAAGGCAGTCATTTATATCCAAATTAGATGACCTACCTCATCTCTAGATGACAATTTATGTGTCTCGTGCATGACAAGGACTTGCCATTTTCGTCTCGCATATGCGTGACTTCGATTTCGGCATCCTGAGCCACTACTCTGATGGCCTCGTAGCATCCAAGTTGGTCGAGTATGAGGAGCCCACTCGGCATAAGACCGATGCTGGCACCTACCGCAGGAGCAATGTTGCCATGGGCCTCAAGCAAGAGATAGTCAATGTCGAATTTTTCGAGGGCAACTGCCAGTACGAGTCCAGCAATCCCACCCCCGACTATCAATATTCTTGAGTTTTGTTTAGAATCGTCCGACATGTTGTATGTTTCGAATCAAATTTGTCCTGTATTTCATCGGTATACCTTGAGGACTACATACTCTATATATAGACATTAGGAACGGCGGGTTTGAAGCCTCGTCCACCACACGGTTAGACTGAGATGTGACATGAGAACAAAGCTGGACGGCATTCATACTCGGGGTTGGCTTTTAGTTGGGCGAAAGTCCCGAGATTTGAGTCCAACTCTTACTCAGCTCACGAGTCAAATTGCCGTCCCGGACTTCGAGCATTCGGTCAATGCCGCCGACGAAGTGTAACTCTGCATGGGTACGGCCCAGTAGTCGTCCCAAGGCGTTTAAAAACACCAACGTGCTTAAATGAACCCACTCATAGTAAGTGAGAGAGCTGTAAAGTTATGTGGCAGCTGCTGAAAAGAAGGGGAAATTCTCAAACACCAAGAATTTGACAACTTGACACCATACACAGCATCACAACAAATTATTGCTGTTTCTTTCAGGGAACCCCTGGGTGGATCCCTGATTGATAATTACCGGGATAATATACCCTTTGACTACGATTTCTGACGGTTCCATGGCTTTTGGAGGACGATCCTCTAAGCCGGCCAAATTGGAGTAGGCCTATCCGACTCCGCGAGAGGATCAGAAGCAGATCTTAAAATTTCTCCGCCTATCAGTTCAGTTGACCCCGCAAGTGAACCGCGCAAATCAGAACTCGCGCTTCGTCCCGTATTAGTAGTGAATAACAGAACTGACAGCCGATGATGGGATTTTCTGGAGACTTTAAGTAAAACCCCTGTCGGTTCAGGGAATGGGTCAATATTGCTTTCTCATGGGGTAGGGCCGTCCTCATGGAGGATCATACGGCTATTTATACCCCGTTATCTGCTCTGACATTAACGCCTGTTCTTGCTGTCAAGCATCGGAAAAGTAGCTACCATTACTCTGTTATCCTTGTTGTGTAGGGGCTTCTCCGATCTTTATCATGATGAGTCGTCTATCCGTCTTGTTGGCATGGCAAGCTGTGGCCACCGCCGCTGCTGCAGTTGATGGAGTGCCTGGACTTCTTGTGCCGTCTACTGCGCCAGACCACGCTTCTATCGAGCATTACCCGTCATTCTCGTCCTTCTCCATCGAACCTGCGTTCTGGATCGAATTTGCAGGAAGTTTAGATGAGCCCAACGAGCTCTTCCTCAAGCTCATCGGTCAACTCACCAATCGCGGCGCTGAGCCCATCATTCGACCCGGTGGTATTGCGATGGATAGCTTGATCTTTGATCCCGAGGGAGGTGATCTGGTCCGCACCATGGGGCCAAAGGGCGAGATCTACCGTACAACGGTTGGACCGGCATACTTCGAGAGCTGGTCTAACTTTCCCGAGGGAGTTACCTTCGTCTCCACTCTGAATTTTGGTAACAATAGTCTCGATATTGCCAGGGATCTCGCTGTCGCTTCAGTCAAGTATCAAAATGACAAGATAAGTTACTTCGAAGTTGGGAATGAGCCTAATCATTATCCTGAATCCAGATGGAACTATGAGACTGCCAAATATGTCGCGCAATGGAAGAACTGGACGGCAGAAATCGATGAGGCCATTGGTCGTGGTCCACAGCAATGGTGGGCTTCGTCGGCCACGACTGATGAGACCAAGCTGAATGTCAGGCCTGTGGACATCATCCCCCTCGGTGTCGACGACGAGGACCAGGTCGGGCAGTTCTCTCTCCACTCATACGTCTACAACACCTGTAGTCCCGAGGGTGCAGCCGTGGCAACCATTGAGAATCTTCTGAACCATACTCAGATCACCAGCTTCGCCGACGACCAAGTTAAGCCTTCGGCTCAAGCTGCTCTCGCTCATGGAAAGCCTTGGGTGATGGGCGAGTTCAATTCGGTGGCCTGTTCTGGCAAGCCAAATGTCACTGACACGTTCACCAACTCGCTGTGGATCATCGACACCCAGTTGACATATGCTGTTCTCAACGCATCTTCGGTCAACCTACACCAAGGTGGAACACTTGTCCTCCAAAGTGGTAGTCAGACAAACACCCCAGGATTCTCATCCTACAGCTTTGTATACCCCCGCGACAGCGAGAAATGGGGACCAGCTCGTGCCCAGCCTGGCTATGGCGGTTTACTCTTCCTCTCCGAGGTCTTTAGCCTCCCCAAGTCCCGCATCCTGCCGCTCGAGGCACCCAAGGGCGTGGACCCTGATAGCTTCTCAGCGTACGCAGCTTACCATGAGGATAAGCTGAGCAAGCTCGTCTTGATCAACATGCAGCCATACTATGGGAACTCGACCGAAGACTCCTCTGTCAACGTGAAGATCTCCTTGCGCGGACCTTCCCAGCATTCTCGACCTCACCTGAAGCGACTGACCGCGCCCACTATCGATGAGAAGGACTCGGGCAATGTACTCTGGGCAGGCCAATCTTTCAGACATGGAGATGCGGAGGGTGAGGTTAAGATTGAGGAGATACCACGTAATGGCGTTGTAACACTCCGCGGAAGTGAAGCGGTTCTTGTGTTCTTCGACAAGGATACTGTTTATGGTCTGGAATAGCCACATGGACCGCTTTGATATTCTGAGTAGTATTTATGATATTTAGGGAAATTGTTTATCTCGTTTTACTTCACAACCGTTGCACCTCTGGGATTTTGCTACAAAAACGATAATAACTTTTAAAATTTATCTATTTACTAAAGAAGAGAAAAGGAAACATGAAAATTAACACTAAGCCTTAGAAGATAAACGTAAGATAGCACACAAAACTTCTTGAACTTGTGAAATAGCTTCAAAGTCCCAATATCTAGAGTTTGCAACGATCACCAAATTCATGCCGCCATGGACGGGCACTGCACCAATGTCGATCCCTCTAAAGTCGGGCGGCATATCTTTCCTGTCGAAATAGCCTAAGTGTTGAGTGCTTCCTGCAATATCTGCACCTGGGCTTTCATCGATGTTTCGGAAATGAGTTGTTACTTGGAAGGAGTTTGCAGCTTCATCCCAGTCTGTACAGTGCTGAGCGATGTCATGGAAGCTCGTGGCGTCATGGGGCGTGGCATCGACGATTTGTTGTTGTAGAGTAGCAAGCATGGTATCATCTATTGTCAACTGGGAACTCAGACGCACTCGCACAGGAACGGTGTTAATGCATGGCCCGACAAGATCTTGTAGATCAGGAGACAGACCAGCTCGCCCAGAGACAAGTCGTCCAAACACAACGTCGTTGACTCCAACGATACGGCTTAGCATGATGGCACACGAGGCAGTAAAAATAGTCGCTGGAGTGGCTCCATTGCGCGGTTGCAGAGCCGGAATCGTCTTTTCTAGTCGAATGCTCGAAGTCTCTTGAGGCAATGTGGCTGACACTCTCTTTGTCGACAACATGGTTATTTTGGATCCACGCAAAAGCGTCCGCCAGAAATTGTGGGAGGCATCACCCTGAGACTGAGACTTCACATGCGCAATGTAGTTTGAGAAACTGCGCGCCTTCGGGAGCGTTCGTGCATTGTAGAAAGCAGTCAAAGCAGCCATGACTTGCGGAAGACTCAGGCCATCGTATTGGGCATGTGAAAGTTGGAGAACAAGACGGAAAGAATTATTAGAACCTCTTAAGAAGATGAAGCGTAGAAACGACGTCCCGAGAACGGCGGGATGTTTCATTGACTCGAGGCAGACTTGTTCGAAAAGATATTCCATGACCACATCGGATGATTCGTACAAGTCTATGCACGGGCTAAGACCTTCCAAGACAACCTGCAGCAGCTCCGTGTCTGAGCGAATGAACACGGTGCGAAGAATATCGAAATGTTCGCTAAGCTGCAGACAACTATTCCTCAACCTCTCTGTGTCAACAGACTCAGGGAAGTCTAGGTAGAAATGGAACCAACCACTGTAATCGGGCTGCAATGAACTTTCGATACAGGCTGCTTGGAAATCGGACAGAGGAAGGATATTGGAGATCTTGGAATAGTGCTCTTGTATGAGAGGCGATATTCTCTTCGTGATGAAACTATCGACATCATCCACATCGAGCGAGGCAAACGGTAGCGCGTCAGAAGTTCTTGTGTCCGCCTGTAACTCTTCGCAATGCCGGGCTAGATCGGCAAGGATTGGGTGTCGGAATATGTCAACGACTTTCAGATCGCAGCCTTGCTCGCGGGCAGAGAGTACCAAACGCATAGAGTGAATTGAATCGCCACCTGCGTGGAAGAAGTGATCATCAATACTGATTGTTGATGGGTCGCGACCAAGTATTGTTGCCCACGCGTTGTGCAACCATCTCTCAGTATCAGTCTCTGGCAGCCGATTCTGTCTCTCCGTTGATTTGGATCTCGTCAGTTGCTCCAAGGTCAGTGAGCTGCCAATTTCTCGTAGTTTTCGTCGATCTGCTTTTCCAGTAACTGTCATCGGGAGAGTCTCAAGAGGTATGTATGCTGTTGGAATCATGTATCTGGGCAACTTCACTGCTAGATGGCCTTCTATGGTGGCTTGGATGTCAATGCTATGTATCGTACGGCATTGGGAGCCATCATTCTTCTCGCAGATGAAGACAACGAGAGTGGCATGGGAGCTTTCCTTTGACGTGATGACCTCGGCCACCACTTGTATGCGAGCCAACTCACTCGTTTCGATCAATGTCTGCCGAACAGTGTCCTCCACCTCCGCAAGTTCTACTCGCTGGCCTCTGATCTTGACTTGGGTGTCTTTGCGTCCGACGAATACTATAGATCCATCTGGATTGTATCGTACCAGATCTCCAGTTCTATACAGATGGCCAGGGCGTCCAGAGCAGTTTGGACCACCGCGCAGCAACCAAGGCACATCTTTGGTGAATGATAAAGCTGTCTTTTCTGGTTCGTTGAGATAGCCAGGTGAGACAAGAGGTCCTTCTAACCAAAGTTCTCCCACTGCACCGACAGGTGATAGGTAGTCATTATTTGATGGTTGCACTACCCAAGTTGTGGTGCCCACACCCCAGCCAATACTTTCGGTATTTTCCTGCCCTACTCGGATCTCACCACAGGTTGCTATGACCGTGCACTCAGTCGGACCGTAAACGTGCAAGAGCCTAAGGGAATCAGGCCACCTCTCGAAGTCGGCCTTTTGGGATGCTTCACCTCCAATGGCAATCGTACGCAGTAATTGCAGCCGTGGAGGGTCAAGAACTCGAGCAACGGATGTGGTTAGGAACACAAAGGTTGCCCTCATGTCATTGATAGACTGGCCTAGGTCATTTTTTCGTTGTTCTTCGGAGGGAACGCAAACACAGCCGCCAACAGAGAGCGGAAGCAACAAGTTAGACCAGGCAAAGTCAAAGCTATAAGAGGCAAAGTCGTAGACGCGGCTATCTGGGTCAATGTGAAAAGCTTTGGTGTGATGCTTCATAGCAGTTGCTACATTCGAAAAAGTCAAAATTACGCCTTTGGGCTTTCCCGTGCTGCCGGAAGTGAAAATAATAGCAAGCGGGCTCGCCGGATTAATTTGTGGGAATGTGATCTCAGGTCGAAGAGGGTGAAGCGGCGTGTTCTTGCTGCTCACCACGACGATGGGGAATTTGCCTTGACCAAACTTAGTTGCTAAGCCCTCGTTCATCTCTGATGCTAATATTATTGTAGGCGAAACCTGTTGTATGATTGTGTGGAGACGTTCCTCCGGTTGAGAGACATCAACAGCAACAGATGTTGCACCCGTTCGCATCACAGCCATCATAGCTACAGAAGTCCACATAGATTTCTCAAAGCATAGCGGAACTGTTGTATTTGGCCCTATACCTCGTTCAATGAGATAATGTGCTAAGCGTGTGGACAAATCATCAAGTTGCCCATAAGTCAGATCGCCGTCCCAAGCGCATACAGCAGATGCATCTGGCTGGCGAAGTGCTAACTTGGCGAATAGCTCATGGGCCGGAGTCTCAACTGCTTGGACGGCATCCGCATTCCACTTCCAGATTTTATCAAGGTCCTCATTACTGATTGTTGAGATTTCTCCAAGACTTTTAGCTTGGTTCTCCTTGAGGCATACTTGATGGAGAATATGATCGAATTGTTTGGCAATTTGAAGCACGTGTGCGTCATCTAGAACATGCGGATCATAGCCAACATGTAACGACATCCCATTAGTAGTCAAATGGCACTCCAGAACCAGTGCATAAGTAAGCAATGCATTGTATCCCGGCTCGCTGTCTGTGTTGGCCGACGAAGTATGCTGTTGGAAGAGATGGCCGTCTCCGAAGTCATTATCATCCCCCTTTGGCTGCACTACTAGTAGAGTCTGGAAGCGGCAGGCTTCCTCGGCTTCTAAGCTAGCCTGACGAATTCGTTGTAAACCAGTCTGCTCAAACGGAATCATATTTACAGCCTTCGTTTGCACGGCATCGAGTATTTGTCCCAAGGCCACTTGCCGGTTGATAGACACTCGAACTGGTACGGTAGCAATTGTAGGCCCTGCAATCTCCTCGATTCCCGAAACTGGAGCTTGGCGCCCTGTAACAACCGCCCCAAAGACAACATCAGCATCGCCAGTATAACTGGCCACCAAGATCGACCAGGCTGTGCGTATGAGATTAGAGGCAGTAAAGTCACTGCCCGCCCATTCGAGATCTTTAATGGCCAATGATAGTTGATGGATGGATTGAGGGTGATAGGTTGCTGAAGGTAAGGCTGGGAACTGAGAAGCCCCTGAATCGAGAAATTCTTCCTTCCAATATGCCATGGCGGATTTCTGGTCGATGCCAGCCATGTACTTAACCATTGATGTAAATGGAATCATAATCGGCATAGGAGCTTTCATGTATAGATCTTGCGCAGCCTTGAATATGAGCTTCAACGACCAACCATCATATAAAGCATGATGAATGGTCAGGATGAAATGGCGGCGTCCATCATCCTGGTTGGCGATGGCTAACTGGCAAAGGCGAGTCCCAACGCCCATCTGTTGTCCGACATTTTTGCCAAGGTAAGAATCGAGGTTATCTACGAGCGCAAAGTCCATTGCTTCACGCAATACAACCTGTGCGAAACCCTGTCCAGGTAGGTCGACTATCCGCGTTCGCAATATGGGTGTAGCTGCAACGACTTGCCGCCACGATTCACGGAATAAACCAATGTCGACATTCTCTTGAAGTTCGAGCACTATAACGGCTACATAGTCGCCTGGACGCCTGGCTGTGAGGGCAAGCAGGCCTTCCTGTAGTGGAGTGCACGGTAGCACGTCTTCCACCTCGTGGAGACTGATGCGGCAGAGGCCGGCAACGTCAGCACGTACTTGATTTTCCACGGTCCCTGTCTTCAAAAGTGAAAAGGGCGCAATATGTTCTTGTATGACGGGATCGTCCAGCTCCATCTTCTTTGCCAGTTCCCTAAGTCTGGGATGTCGGAATACGTCGGCGACAGAAAGTGAGAGGTTCTGCTGACGAGCAGCAGCAACTAGCTTCATGACCCCGATCGAGTCACCGCCGATACGTAAGAAGCTGTCATCAGCACTAATGCTGTCGGTCTTGATACTCAATACATCTGCCCATAGCTGTTGAAGTTTGCGTTCCATTTCTGTCTCCATTGGTAGCACTGATTCGCGACTGAAGCCCACGGTCGTCAATTGTTGCCGTTGGCTTAGTTCCACCCCGAGCTCCCTCAGTCGTCGCCGGTCCGTTTTACCAGTAGCTGTCATCGGAATAGTTCTCATTGGGACGAATGCCGTGGGGATCATGTATATCGGAACTTTGCTTGTTAGCCTCTCTTCGATACCCGCAGTTGCCCGCCAAACAGCTTGGTTGCATGATTGCTCGTCCATAGGCTCGGCGTCTACTGTTGTCATGCAGACGAAAGCAACGAGAGTTTGGTTGTTGATTTCGGGTGTGGTGATGACTTCTGCCACAACTTGAGTCTGCGTAATCGTATCATCATATTCCAACGTATTCTTGACATGAAGCTCTATTTCGTCGAGCTCAACACGCTGCCCACGTATTTTCACCTGAGTGTCTTTTCTCCCAATGAATGCCAAAGACCCATCCGGATTGTAGCGTACAAGATCGCCAGTTTTGTAGAGACGGCCTTGTCTTCCGGCGCATCGAGGCCCATTGCCGCACGTAAGCCAGGAAGGGTTCTCAACAAAGACCTTGGCAGTTCTCTCAGCATCGTTGAGGTATCCTTTCCCGACCAGAGGGCCTTCTAGCCAGAGCTCGCCTACTGCGCCTATTACGCTTAGCTGATCGGGGTTGTTTGGATCCACAACCCAAGTGGTCGCCCCGGCGCCCTTGCCAATATTGGGCTCTGTAATGCTGCATGGATCGACCGTTTCCGTAGTCACAATGTTCGTTTCTGCAGGCCCATATACATTGATAAGGCTCTTCAACTTTCTTTCTTTGGGAAGATCTGCCAAGTGAAGAGCCTCGCCACTGAAGCACATGGTGTCTAAGCCGGGCACTTCATCGACGTTGACCATACGAGCGACTGTAGGGGTCAAGTGGGCATATGTCACGCCGAGCTTGGCCATTGAACCGGTGATGTTTTGCTTCCGATCGTCCTCGGATGGGACACATAGGCAGCCACCAGCAACCATAGTGTGGATAAAGTTGCACCAAGCTATATCGAACGCGTACGATGCAAAGTCGAATACTCTGCAACTTGAGGTGACCCTGAGTGCCTCCTGCTGATATTTGATAGCGCTGCTGAAGTTCCTGTGCGTATATATAGCCCCTTTTGGCGTCCCGGTGCTGCCGGAGGTGAAAACGAGATACAAGGAGCTGTCAGAGCTGATTGTTGGAAGCTCGAGACTTGAAGGGCCAGATGGTAACTTGGCTAGATCCTCGCCGCTCACAAGCACTACCTCACAGGCACCTAGCGCATATGATAGATCCCTATTCTTTGTCGATGATAGAATGACCATAGGTTCCACTTGATCCACGATCGTTTTGAGCCGTGCCTCGGGCTGCGTTATATCTAAAGCCACAGACGCTCCGCCTGCTTTCATTACTGCTAGCATAGCGACGGAAGTCCACAGCGACTTTTCAAAACACAAGGGCACTATGACGCCGGGAGTCACACCCATACTGACCAGGTAAAGAGCGAGTTGATTAGAGAGCTCGTCAAGTTGGGCGTAGGATAGCTGACCATCCCAAGCATAAACAGCAGTTGCCGTTGGCCGATGGCGAGCTGAAGAAGAGATTTGATCGTGGACGCAGAGGTCAACGGCCTCTGGCACCACAGAATTCCATTCCCAAATGCTTCGAAGGTCATCCTGGCCAATGGCTGCCACTTGCCGTAAGACCTTGTTATTATTATCCGCATTACAAAGCTGTCTCATGATGTGCTCGAGCTGATGAGCTACTCGACGCACTTCCGAAGTCTGTAGTACTTCTGGATTGAAGCTGGATTTAATGATCAGACCTGAGCCTTGAGGTTTAAATTCCACTTCCAGAGCATATCCCTTGGGCTTGTTGTAAACGACAGCAGGATCTCCGTTGTCTGAGCCATGCATCACCAAAAGAGTCTGGAATTGGCAACACTCCTCAGCCTCAACAGACGCTTGACGGATAACATTCAGTCCGACTTGCTCGAAAGGAAGTGTCTCCTTTATTTGTCGGTCCAGACCTTCCAATACCTCTGCCACGGTGAGTTCCCAGGTTATAGCCACTCCAACTGGAACAGTTGCAGCAGCCACGCCACTTGCCGCAGACATGCTATCGTGACGTAAGACACCGAAGATGGCCTCACTGCTGGCGGTGAGCTTAGAGGCCAGAATTGACCAGGCTGTTTGGATCACGGTCGTAGGCGAAACTAAACTGTTCCAGGCCAAGCTGTCAACAAAGTGCTTGAGAGATTCTCTGCCACGACGCTGCGCTCGGCCAGATGGGAAAATCGTTGGGAAGGTCTGCCCGCGGAAGTCCCTAAATCTGTTCTTCCAGTAATCCATTGCTAATTCTTCATCGACACCGGAAGTATACTCGAAGAACGTTTTGTGTAATGGTTGCAATTCCGCTATCAGCTCTCCAGCTGTAGCACCAACTCGGTCCCATGATGGGAATTTGATACTGCTAGCTGTCGGGGTATTGGAATTACGTTCTGGAGATTTGTTGCTGCTTTGAATAAAGTCAATGGCTTTGACGAGAATGCTGCACAGCTCTTCAGCACCAGCCTCCCCGAGGCATGATGTCTGATAACTGATGCTAACCGCTGTATCGGCCCCATATAGACTTGCGCCGAGAATCACATCAAACTAGAATTCGGTTAGACTTCTGAGAGAGATCACCTGATATGCGGCATGTAATCTTACCTCGTGTGGATCGTCACTATGGACCTCTTGAAATTCCATCCCACCTAGACTTTTGTTCTTCGAACCGGTGCCTTCTCTTACTGTGATGGCCGTGTTAAAAAGTTGCTGGGATCTAATGCCTAACTCGTGCTGGATCTCCGCAAGTGAAGCATGCTGATAATCTAAATGATCGATGGACTGTTCAGATGTAGCTGCCAAAACTTTATCAAGAGGCAGACGCAAGTCAATTCTGCTGATCAGGATATTGATTAGAGGTCCGATCATCTTGTCAATATTAGCAATTGGGGCATCTCGTCCAGACGCCATATATCCAAAGCAAATCTCGCGCATTCCAGTATAGTACCATAACACCAAAGCCCAGGCAACCTGCAAGAAGACTGATCGAGTGATGCCATGTGATTTGCAGAACTTTTCGATTCCAGCAGTTGACTCCAGTGGTATATTGACAACATCGTGAGAGCCAATGTGTGAAGCCTGTTCAACTGGCGTGATACTTGAGAACTTGCATGGCGAAACCCCGTCGAGGAATCTGGTCCAGTATTGGAGCCTCTCAGCCTTAGCTACCGTGCCAAGGCTCTGAACAAGGTCACGGAATGACGGGGCTTCTTCTAGTTGATAACCATGATAGGATCTTGTGAGGTCGTCCAGTAGTATTTGCATGGAAGCAGCATCCATAAGCACATGATTAATGTCTAACCTGCAAGCAACACTGTTGTCTGCTCCCTGACAAATCGTGAAGGTATGCAACGGTTCGCCAGGAAGGTATGATTCGCCTGGCTGCTCAAAGAGAACATCAGCGGGATTATTCGCGGCCGTGGATAAGTGATGGACGCGATGGCAAAGACCACCTAGCACAACCTGTATGAAGCCACCGGTATCTGGGTGCTCGACTAGAATCGTGGAAAGTATAGCATGCTTTCGAGCTACAGTTCTCCAGGCTTCTTCAAGTCTTACCGGCGAGGGGTTGTCATTAGTTGACGAGACGCAGTTCCAAACCCAATAATTTGCGTATGAAGCCGCGCCCTTTCTTGTACTGAGGAGGATGCCCTCCTGAACAGCTGTACAGGGATAGATGTCCTGCACATCCTCAGAGCTCACACCCAAAGCGGGGAGTCTATTCGCGAGGAGAACTTCAAGACCTTCATAGGATATGCTTAGAAGTGGAAAGTCACTCAGAGTGAACTCCACGGCCTTCTTGGTCAGGTAATCAACAAGGTCCTTCAATGTTTGCTCGAAAGCCTTCAGCCACTTCTGAAGCCTAGCTTGGTGTTTCATCTGCTGCTTGAAGCGAAAGGTAATTGACAATCTTCCTTGGTCAACGTCTGCACTCACGTCGATTAAAGCAAATCTCTGAGCTGTTGGGGAGATGTCCACTATGTCTGCAATTTCCGCTCTGTCTTCCGGTCTGAAGAGTGCATTGGGATTTTCCAACTGTTGATATTTGCCAGTGTAATTAAGGATGATCTCGACTGCTTGATGTCCTTGGTCTATCTCGAGGCTTTCCTTACTGTGATAGCGGTAGGTAAAGTATGGTCGTCCCTTGCCTGGAATTTGTCGTCGAATATCTTTTGTGAACTTGACCGTATCACTGAGGGAGCCATGTGCGTTTGGAATTTGGATAGGGTGCAAAGTTGTAAACCACCCGACTGTTTCTGAAACGTCCGCGTCGATATCATTGATGGGCTCTCTTCCGTGTCCCTCGAGGAAGATCGGGGGAACCTGCCTATCAGGGAATACTTGTCCAAAAGAGTGTACTAATGCTCCTAGGATCAGGTCAACCGGTTCGGTCCTGAAGCACTCATTACTGTCTCCCAGTAGTAACCTCGTGTATACCTCGCTTAAAAGAGAACTGTAAATTTGACAATCTGTAAAATCGTTTTCACTCGACTGCATTCCCCAAAACGAGAAATTGGTGGGAGGAACAGCTGAGAAGGGAAGCACATCGGATAGTTGCAAGGAATAGCTTTCTTGAGCTTGTAACTCTGACCACGATTGGAACGAAACCGAGCTATGGGCAGGCAGCTGCCCGACCTGAAGATGTTGCTCAATGTCATGCCATATAATTCGCCATGATACTAGATCGACGATAAGATGGTGCGCGGTGAGCAGGACGGCCTGGTCTTCACCATCAATAGAGAACAAGTCAACAGTGAAGAGGGGACCGTTGACGATATCCAATGATTGTTGGCGACTGTCAGCTACCATCTTCGCTTCTTCTCGAGAGCATGACTCATGGTGTGTAAATATTGATTCGGATGATCCATCTGTGGGAACAATTTGTTCCCATCTTCCGTTTAAGTCCTGTCGAAAGCGGACACGAAGCATTGGATGGCGAAATACGACAGCCTTAACTGCCATATCTAAATCGGCAGCTGAAGTAGGCCTCATAAGTCTCAACATGAAGCTCTGATTAAAATGATTGAGACCCTGTGGATGAGCATCAAAAAACATTTGCTGGGCTGGCGACAGAGTCCACGGGCGTCCGTTTACATGCTGATGCTGTGCGAGCCGCTCCTGTCTGACTGGCTGACAGCATAATGCCAACTTCTCAATAGTTCTAGCCCTGAGAATATCTGCGACTGTGATGGAAAGGTTCTTGGCCCGACATCGTGATACAACCTGCATAGCAGTAATTGAATCCCCACCAATCTTTGTGAAGGGCACGTCGATCGAGATATCTGTTGGAGAAAGATTCAAAACATCGGCCCAAATATCCTGGATGCTTTTTTGCAGTTTGTTGGATGGCGGTATGTAATTTGTATCCTTGTTTGCCTCAACATAGCTGTGATATAGAGTCGATCCCAGCTTACGCAACTGTCTCCGGTCTAGCTTCCCAGTAGCTGTCACTGGAAGGTTATCAAGCGGAATGTAGGCAGTCGGTATCATGTAAACCGGCGCTACCTGGCTTAGATACTCATCGATGCCCACAGTCATGGGCTGGATGTCTTTGGAGTTGTTGCTGCCTCGCCCGGAATGTATGAAAACCACAAGGGTAGAGTGCTCGCTGCCCTCTGGGGTGATAACTTCAGCAATCAGCTGTAAGCCAGTCGAAATGTCAAAACCAGTGTTTTTTGCTGCTATTGCTTCTCGAACATGATGCTCGACTTCGTCTAATTCCACACGCTGACCTCGTAACTTTACTTGCGTGTCTTTGCGGCCGACGAAGGTCAAGGAGCCGTCAGGATTATATCGCACCAAGTCTCCTGTCTTATAGAGCCGTCCCCTCCGTCCGGGTTTGCCCAGTATTCCTTCTACCAACCAGGTAGGGTCGAATACGAATGTTTCACTTGTTTTTTCTGCGGCATTCAGATAGCCGCGCGTGACCAAGGGACCTTCAAGCCACAGTTCACCCACTGCGCCAATCGGCATTAAAGAGTCGCCTTTGTTGGGCTCAACGACCCAGGTGGTGCTCACTGTGGCGCGTCCCAGACCATTCTTACGCTCCTGACCTGGTAGAACCTCCAGAGTTGTAGCCATTACAGTACATTCTGTTGGTCCGTATACACTAATTATCTTGATCCGGTCCGGCCATGAGACGAAGTCTGTTCTGCTCAGAGCTTCTCCTCCGACTATGAGTGTATCAAGAGTTGGTAATACTGCAGGATCCAGAATACGAGCCACTGAAGGAGTAAAGAAGGCAAAATTTGCCTTGAAACGATGAATAGACTGAGTGACATCGTTCCTTCGCTCCTCTTCAGATGGGATGCAGATGCAACCTCCCGAGTATAGGGTAAGCAAAAGGTTTGACCAGGAGAAGTCGAAAGCGTAAGACGCAAAGTCGTAAACCCTGCTGGTAGGCTTCAGGTCAAAGGTCTTAACATGGTGAGGAATGGCGGTTGCAAAGTTGGAATGCGTTAGGACAACGCCCTTAGGCATCCCGGTGCTACCAGATGTAAAGATTGCACATAGTGCATCTGAAGGGTCGATACGTGGTAGTTGAGTCTCAGGCTGAGATTCTAATAGGTCCAAGTTGGCTTCACTTACGACAACAATACGGCAGTTGTTGCCCAGCCGCCGCGCCAGTCCCTCGTTAGCCACTGAAGAGAGAAGCATGACCGGCTGAGTTTGCTGTACAATTGTCTGAAGGCGTGTCTCAGGCTGAGTAACATCCATCCCCACAGCTGCAGCGCCAGCTTTTATCACTGCTAACATCACTACTGGAGTCCAGACGGATTTCTCAAAGCATAGAGGTATAAGCATATTAGCACGCGCTCCAAGATTGATCAAATGACAAGCCAAACGCGTAGAGAGCTTATCCAAGGACGAGTAATTCAGCTTCCCATCCCAGGCATCAATTGCGGGCGCCTCTGCATTGTAGTGCGGCGTATTCATGAGTAGGTCAGGGACACTGGCGTTGTTGGGTTCGGTCAAAGTTGAGTTCCATGCCCAGATCTTGCTCAAATCCTGCGCGCCCACCACTGCGAGACTGCTCAAAATCTTTGATCTGTTCCCCTCTGCCATGATTTGTCGAATCAAATGCTGCAGTTGACTTGATATTTGATGAATTTGTGCTTGGCTGAGGACATTAGGGTCATAATTGAAATATAATTGAGCCCCGGTAGCCTCGAGACAACATTCAACAACCAGGGCGTGCGTAAGCGTCGAGCTGTGTTCTATCAAACTGTCTCCGTCTTCTGGAGAATCTTCTGCAGCTTGAAAGAGGCTAGACTCCTTGGAAGTCTTCTCAACAGGTTGTACTACCAATAGAGTTTGGAAACGACTGGCTTCGCTAGCCTCCAAACTGACCTGACTGATTCGCTGAAGTCCAGTTTGTTCAAAAGGGATCATATCTACCGCTTGCATCTGCACATTGTATAGATTGGTTTCCAAAGTCTCGCTTGAGTCCAAAACCACTCTTACAGGAACGGTCGCAATAGTAGGCCCGACCATACGCTCGATACCCACAAGAGGCGTCTGCCGTCCCGTGACAGTTGCCCCGAAAACGACATCGTTAGAGCCAGTATATCCCGAAACTAAGATTGCCCATGCAGCTCGAATGATGTTAGAGGCCGTGATATCGTTGCTACCCCAATGAAGCTTTTCTAAGTTGGAAGTAAATCTATTCGTGCATTTAGGGTGGTATGATGCTGCTGGTAGGGCTGGAAACGAGTGGCCTTCAGAGCCTGCAAACTGTTTTCCCCAAAATGCCGTCACAGCGTTGTTATCAAGATCGATCACATGCTTGATCATTGGTGTGAATGGCACCATCGGGGAATTGTTGGCACCAGTCTGGTATGCTCTCTTGACGGCGTCGAGGATGAGCTGCATCGACCACCCGTCATAGAGAGCATGGTGAATCGTCCACACGAAGTAGTATTGGCTAGAATCTTGGGTGGAAGCGACAGCGAACTTGCTAAGACAAGCTCCTAGAACCATTTCGCGTTGTCTGCCACCCTCCAGATAGAGATTCAGATCGTTACTTGTTACCCAGTCTGGTTCTTCGTTTACCACTACTTGCACAATTCCGTGCCCGGGCAAATCGATCAGCCGCGTCCGTAGTATAGGAGTTGCTGCAACAACTTGCTTCCATGCGGTATATAACCGCTTGTGGTCAATGTTGTCAGGAATCCTGCGAACAATTGTTGCCACATAATCGCCCGCTCGCTTTGCAGTAAGTGCTATTAATCCTTGCTGGAGCGGCGTGCAGGGCAAGATGTCTTCAATGTCCATGACGTTAACAGAACACAGACTTGCCACCTCAGTTTTCAAGGGCTCGGTCATGGAGCAGTTCAGAAGAGAGAAGGCCGGAATGGCGTCCATTTCAGTAGTTTCAACACCATCTGATTGCACAACGGTTGCGAATTCTTCCAGCCTTGGATGTCGGAAAAGGTCGGCGACTGAGAATGATAGTCCTTGATCACGGCCAGCACCAACCAATTGCATGGCGCTGATCGAATCACCACCAATGCGCATGAAGTTACTTTCCAGGCCTATAGTATTGCTGTCGAGAGCTAAAACTGTCGCCCAAAGAACCTGGAGTCGCCTCTGGAGTTCAGTCTCTACAGGTCGCAATCGAGTAGATGTCGAGGTCAAGGAGCTCAGTTGCTGTGGAGTGATCTCCATGCCAAGTTCTCGAAGCCTCTTTCTGTTAATCTTGCCCGTTCCTGTAATTGGGATACTTTGCAATGGTATATAAGCCGTTGGCACCATGTAGTATGGCACTCTGTCTGCCAGTCGCTTTTCTATTTCAGCGGTCATGCTCATGACAGTTCTGGCCCAAGCGCCCTCGTCAATGACAGCAATCTCAGACGGATTCTGGCCAACGAAGACAACGAGTATTGAGTTACTGTTCCCTTGTGGTTGAATAACCTCAGCGACCACCTGTGGACGAGGACTTGGACCTAAGTCTCCTTGAGCACCAAGCACAATTGTTTGTTCCACGTGATGCTCAACGTCTCCGAGTTCAACGCGCTGGCCGCGGACCTTGACTTGGGTATCCTTGCGAGCGACGAAGACTAAAGAACCATCTGGATTATAATATACAAGATCCCCAGTTTTGTATAAACGGCCACGCCGCCCCTCGCAACCAGGATCTCCTCGAGTCATCCATATAGGATCGTGGATGAAAGATTGTGCGGTGCTCTCCGCGTTGTTCAGATACCCGCGGGCCAGAATAGGACCCTCCACCAGAAGCTCCCCTACTGTCCCAATAGGAACCAACTTGGTGTGATCTTTCTGGTCAACAGCCCAACTGCAAGATCCCACTGCCCTCCCAATCGTTTTAGGTGACAACTTGTTATCTGTCCATGCTCGGACTGAGTGAATCACGGCACACTCTGCAGGCCCATAGGCATTAAAGAGCTTAGGCAGTCCACGCCATCGCTCATAGTCCGACTCCCACGGGGCTTCTGCTCCTAAGATCAAGGTCGTCAGGGTCGGCACTTTCGAAGGATCCAGAAGCCGGGCAACAGAAGGAGTGAGCAGAGTGGTGTTGACTGCCATTGACTCCATCGTTCTAGCCAAGTCGGTAATCCTGTTATCTTCGGATGGCACACAAACGCAGCCACCATGTAACCACGTCGAGAAAGTCTCCATGATGCATGCGTCGAAGGCATAGGATGCAAATTGCAAGACCCTGGAGTCTTTGCTCAAGCCCATAACTTTACCATAACTGTGACAGCTGGTAACCACTGCCTGGTGTTCTAGAACCACCGCCTTGGGTCGGCCAGTACTGCCGGATGTGAAAATGATGTACATTGTGCTGGTAGGCTCGATGGCAGGTAACACAAAATTTTGAGTGATGTCGTGCCGCATTGAATGCTCCTTATCCACCACCAAAATCGTGTAATTACCCAGCAAACTTGCTATTTTCCTACTCCTTGCAGATGACAAAACCACTATCGGCTTGATCTCCTCAACAATTGTCTGCAGACGAGATGTGGCTTGTGTCGTGTCCATGGCGACAAAAGCACCGCCGGCTTTGACAACGGCGAGCATCGCTACAGGCGTCCACATCGACTTTTCAAACAAGAGCGGCACCACGTCTCCAGGGCCAAGTCCGAGACTTACTAGCAATTGTGCATAGTGAGAGGAAAGTTCCCATAGTTCTGCATAACTCAGAGATCCATCCCACGCACATATTGCGGGTGCTTGCGGCTGAAGGCTCGTAATTTCGTACAAGCAGTCATGGGCACAGACCGCAGATACCTCTGGTACAGCTGCGTTCCACCCCCATATATCTTTCAGGTCTTGAGGCGTAACCATGTCAATATCGTTAAGTATCTTGTTTCCCGCCTGCTTCTCGCAAACCTGTTTCAGGACATGACCAAACTGTTCAGCCATGCGGCGAACCTCGACAGTGCCAATGACATTGGGATCATAGCTCAACTCGATAACGACTCCATTCTTTTCAAGTTGGCACTCTATTATCAAGGCATAGTTGGGATGGGCACCGAGGTTGACATGGATATTGTCACTCTTGAGATCATCCTCGTCCTGGGGAATAAAAAGCTTGCTGCCACCCATATCATCTTGAGCAGGCTGCACAACCAATAGAGTTTGGAATCGGCAGGCTTGCTCAGCCTCGGGGCTCACCCTACTTATTAGTTGCAAGCCAGCTTGTTCATATGGGATCATATGCATAGCCTGGTCTTGTATAGCATGTAAAGTATGTTCCAGATCGGACTCCCAATTCAGTTTTATTCGTACGGGAACAGTTGAGATAGTAGGCCCTGCCATCTCTTCAATTCCTGAAACAGAGCTCTGTCTTCCCGCTAGTACTGCTCCAAAGATTACATCCTGCGAGTCGCTCAGTCGCCCCATGACAACAGATAGCGCTCCTCGTAGCATGGTCTGAGGGGTGAAGCTATTTCCTGACCAATTCAAGTTCTTCACTTGGTACCGGAGTGTATCTTGTGGGTCGGGGTGATAACTTGCTGATGGGAGCTGTGGGAACTGCTGCGCCTCCGAGCCAGAAAATGTGTCACTCCAAAATGAAGAATACGCCTCTTGGCTAATCTCACCAAGTCTCTTGATGAATGGTTGAAACGGTCTCAGTGTTGGAGGCGATCCATGGAAATAAGCCCTCTCCGCAGCTTTGGTGAGCAGTTGTAAGGACCAACCATCGTAAAGTGCATGATGAATTGTCCACACTAAATATCGTTTATTGCTCAGACCCCCACCAACATAACCGAATCGACTGAGGCGGACACCAAGACCCATGTGTAGTCGGGTTGTGTCCTTGAGATATCCGTTCAAGTCGCCATGGTCTTCTACCGCGGTCCATTCCACCTGTTCTTTCAAAACCACTTGCACGAGGCCTTTTCCTGGGTAGTTCACGATTCGCGTTCGCAGAATAGGTGTACTTGCAGCAACTTGACTCCATGCGGTATACATTCGAGCGATGTCAACATCGTTGGGGAGCTGGAAAACAAGAGTCGCAGTATAATCACCAGCGTGCTTCTCCGTGAGCGCTAAGAGCCCTTCTTGAAGAGGAGTGCATGGAAATGCATCCTCGACCTCATCGTCGTCGACTCTGCAAAGCGCTGCAACTTGCATTCGTATAACCTCTTCATCTTGGGGCGGATGGAGCAAAGAGAAGGCGGGGACAGCTTCGTCAGATGTGATATCCATCGGCTGCTGTTCCAGAACCTTTGAGAGTGCACCAATCGTTGGGTTCCGGAATATGTCTGCAACTGAGAGTGGCAGTCCTTCATTGCGTGCAGCTGCGACGAGCTTCATCGCTCCAATTGAATCACCACCGAGCCGCAGGAAACTATCATTTAGGCCGATTCTCGCACCATCTATGTTCAAGACAGTGGACCAGAGGGTTTGAAGCTGTTTTCCAACCACTGTTTCCACCTTTTGTTGTTCGATATGAGACAAAGCAAGATTGCTCAGCTGTTGCGCTGTAAAGGATGCCCCGAGCTGCCGCAGCTTTTGTCTGTCAGTTTTTCCTGTTACCGTTGCCGGTACAGTTTCTATTGGAATATAGGCAGACGGAATCATATAAATAGGGACCTTGTCGCTCAAACGAGAATCGATCCCAGCTGTCATGCGGCCAACAGTGCGATCTAGAAGGTCTTTGTCTGCGATGAGAGTGCCATCGCTGCCACTTAAGCTGACAAAGACCACAACTGTCGGATTCTCGCTTCCTTCTGGCACGACTACTTCAGCTATGATTTGTGCGGAAATATCGAGCTTCCCCGATCGATTGTCTTGTCCGTCTGCAAGGGCGTTCCGCACATGGTGCTCTACTTCGCTCAGTTCGACTCGTTGCCCTCGGATCTTGACTTGGGTGTCCTTGCGGCCAACAAATGCTAGAAGTCCATTCGAATCATAGCGCACAAGGTCGCCTGTCTTATACAGGCGACCGCTTCGCCTTGAAGCCGAGGCCTCCCGCAGGAGCCAGGGGGCATCCTCGACGAATGCAGCCACTGTTGCATCGGGGTCATTGGCATAGCCTTGGCCGATAAGAGGCCCTTCCAACCAAAGTTCACCAACGACACCAATTGGCATCAATTTACGCCCATTGACGGGATCCACGATCCACGTTCGTAAGCCGAGTCCGTTGCCTATGACAGGGCCATCCTTCTTCAAGTCTCCGATCGTTGAACAAGGAGTACACTCAGCGGGGCCATAAACATTGATAACATGCGTGTCAGGTCCACAGAGGTTTATATCTGTTGGCAGCACAGCCTCTCCTGCAAGTACTAAAGTGCTCAGCCCTGACAAAGCGTCATGCCCTAGCACGCGGGCTAGGGTTGGTGTGAGCTGAGCATATGTGATCTCGTACCGCTTGATGCAGCCTGCCACATCGTCTCGTCGTTCTGATTCCGAGGCAACACAGAGGCATGCCCCAGAAGTCAAGGTATGTAGTAGATTATACCAAGACAAATCGAAAGCTTGCGAAGCAAAGTCGAACACGCGAGACTCAGGAGTGAATCTCAGTGCTTCCTGTTGGTACTTTATTGCGCTGCTGAAGTTGCGATGTGCAATCATGACGCCTTTTGGTATTCCAGTACTTCCAGATGTAAATACCATGTACAAAGCATCGCTCGGATCAACGATAGGCAACTTTAGGTCTGAGGACCTTAGTGGTTGGCGACTGAGGTTTTCTTCAGAGGCAACCAATGTGGTGGCATCTAATGCTAGTTCATGGGCCAACATTTCATTGCCAGCTGACGAGATCATGATCTTGGGGCGGACTTGTTCAACGATGGCCTCAAGCCGCGCCTTAGGTTGGGTCACATCCAAGGCCAAGTTTACTCCGCCAGCCTTCATAACCGCCAGGATCGCCACCGATGCCCACATTGATTTTTCAATGCAAATGGGCACAACCTGGCCTATTTCTAAGCCAGACTCAATGAGATGGTAGCACAGACCATCTGAGAGGTCGTCCAACTGCTTATATGTCAGGTTCCCGTCCCAAGCGCAGATGGCTGGCGCGTTCGGTCGAAGCCGCACTACCTTGGCGATCAACTCGTGCACACAAACATCGAAAGGCTCTAGAACGTTTGAATTCCAGCTCCAAATATCACTCAAATCCTGCTTGCTTATCGTTTCGATAGCCCCGAGCCTCTCCCCTTGGTTGTGCGTCAAGCAGATTTGTCGAAGGATATGCTCAAATTGCAGTGCCAATCTCTTGACTTGTCTATGATCAATACTTTCTTTGTGCGACAATATAGTCAGCTTCACACCGCCATCTTCGAGTCGAAACTCTAGTATGAGCGAGAGCTTTATATTCTCTTCCCTTGTTTGGGCGAGGTGACTTGTTTCTCCAAGCTGGACGACATCTAGGATGGTCTGGAACGCGGCGGCTGTATGCTCGCCACCAGTAATTGTGCGGATGCGTTGAATTCCGACCCTTCCAAACTTAGCCACATCTTCAGATACAGTAACCACCGCTTCCAGAGACTGCTTCACCGTAGCTTCCCAATCCAGAACGAGGCGGACTGGTAGCACCGTGTCCAGAGAGGTTTGTACAGCTTTGCCTGGCGAGGAATGTCGTAGAGTGGTAGATGATCCAAAGATCACTTCATTCGATTCTGTATAACGAGCAGCAAGAACTGCCCAAGCCATGTATATGAGATAACTTGGCGAGGTGTTGAGATCGTTCCATTGGAGATCATGTATAACGTGATCAGAACTGTCAAACTGCGGGTGGCTGGTACCCTCCACAGCGATCCCGCTTCTAATAGGAAAATTCTGTGCTTTTGAGTCACTCAAGTAGGTTTGCCAGAATTCTGTTGCGTTTTCTTCGTTGACACCAGCGAAGTATTGAAAGAAACTTTGATGGGTTAAGGAATCTTCACTAATTTCTCCATTTGGTTGCCTGGACACTGCCGGGCCACGAGTTAATGACGATTGCTGGTTTTGATCGGACATATGATTTTGAAGATATTGGATCGCCATATGAACCGTATGCATGATGTGCTGGGCTTCAGTAAAGCCGACGAGATCTGTTTGGTAGCTGAGCATGATATCAGTGTTTGGTCCATTTATGTCTACGCCGAGGAGCGCAGCAAACTATGCCATGTTAGCAAAAAGGACGTCAATAAACAAAGAAATAAAAAGCATACCTCATGTTGATCATCGCTACTAATTTCGTTGAAAGTCACCATGTCGGTTTGGGCATTGCTTGAGGACGAGTCGTGAACTGTCAAGGCCGTGTTGAAGAGTTGCTTGGGGCCGAGTTGCAGCTGGTGCTGTATCTCAGCTAACGAATTATGCTGAAACTTCAGGTGCTCTATCGTATCCTCGGCAGCTTTGCGCAGCATATCACCGAGTGGCTTCCGCACATCAACGCGGCTAATGAGCATGTTGATCAGGGGGCCAACCATCCTTTCAATACCAATGATTGGTGCATCTCTTCCAGAAGCCAAATAGGCAAAGCAAACTTCCTGTTTGGCTGTACACTGCGAGAGAACGAGTGCCCAAACTACTTGAAGAAAAACGGAACGAGTGATTCCATGATGTCTACAAAGCGCGGCAATTCCTGCGCTGGCCTGAGCCGGTAGTTTGAGACTACCGTACGAGCGGCTAGGCAACTCATCACTTTTCTTTCTAGAAAGGTTAAGTACAGGAAGCTCGCAAGGCTCGATGTCAGTCAGATACGCTGACCAGAATGAAAGTCGCTCAGACTTAGAAACACCACTCAAGTGCTGCACTAGATCTCTGAATGGAGGAGCGGCTAATGCGTCATGGCCGCCGAGTGCCCTGTTGAGATCTTGGAGAATCAACTGCATAGATGTTGCATCCATCAGCGTATGGCTAATGTCAACTCGACAGGCAAAGTCCTGATTTGCACCTCGGGAAATGGTCAATTGACACTCGGGTTCGCTGACAGAGAACCGAGGCCTCTCCATCTCTAGCAATGCTTCTGTGGCAGATGCAGATTCCAATTTCGGGTGTAAATTAGTTACTCGTGCTGGTGAGTTTCGGAGCACCACTTGTATAAAACCTCCATTGTCCACATCTTCAACGAAAATGGTTGAAAGGATTGGATGTTGGGATACTACTCCTCGCCACGCGGCCTCAAGTTTCTGAGGGAAAATCATGGCATTCGAAGAATTGCTGTCGCTTAAACAACATTCCCATACCCAATAGTTTGCATAAGAGGCCGCCGCTTTATTCCTAGTAAGAAGTATACCTTCTTGGACTGGCGTACAGGGATAAACATCTTGGACGTTTTCGAGGCTAACTCCCACTGCTGACAGTTGCTCGTTTAAGAGCAGATCTAGCCCCCTATATGTGGTCTTTAGCAAAGGGAAGTCGTTCAGAGTGAAAGTTCGGCTGGTTGTGGATAGACCATATGCTACCGTGTTCAATGTCTTCTCGAACAATCCAATCCAATCTGCAAGGAGATTTTGGTGGCGCATCCGTTTATGAATAACAATCGATATGACCATTTTGTCGCCTTCCACCCCGGCATTGAGCTCAATTAGCGCCAGACGCCGCGCTTTGGGTGAAACGTCTGAGTTATCAGCAATCATATCGGCTCTATCCTCGAGCTTGAACAAAGACTTGGTATTCTCTAGTTGCTGGTATCGTCCCATATAGTTAAAAGCAACTTCTGCCTCCTCGTGGTGTCTAAATGCCTGCTGGCCTGCATGGCTCTGATAGCGACAGGAAAAGTAGGAGAGGCCCTTGTTTGGGACGCCACTTCGAGCATCCTTGGTAAATTTTACCGTGTCCAGGATCCCGTCTTCACATGTTCCGGGGATTTGTACAGGGTGGAGAGTCGTAAACCATCCCACAGTCTCGGAAAGGTCAGCTTCAAAGTCCTCTAAGTCCTCTCTGCCGTGACCTTCGACAAAAACGGAAGGGCTTTGGCGGTCCGGGAAAGTTTGGCGCAATGAGTAGACGAGGGCTGCTAGCAACAGATCAACGGGTTCCGAAGCGAAGCATTCATTGCTTTTGCCCAAGATAAGAGCAGTCGTAGCTTTTCCCAATGACACGACATGATCTTGACTGTCGCCTTCCACATTTTCGGCGAGCGGAACTCCCCAGTAGCCAAAATCAGATGTACTTATTGGGACTGGGAGGACCTTATTTGGGCTCAGTGAAGAGCCTCTTTCCCGCTGCAACTTACACCATCTGTGGAATGAAAGTGACTCTTGGCTTGGTAAAGTGCCCGTCCGTATGTGATGTTCTATATTTTGCCATATGATACGCCAAGAGACAAGATCAACGACAAGATGGTGTGCAGTAAGCAACAGACTTTGGTCCTCTCCGGCAACGGAAAAAAGATCTGCTGCAAAAACAGGCCCTTCGAGGATGTCGAGAGACTCCTTCCTAGCCTTTGCGAGCTTTGGTACCTCAATTCTCTCAACCTCGGAGTGATGCTGGAATGCCAGTAGTTGGGCCCCAGGATCAGAGATGACTTGTTCCCACTGGCCGTCATCGCGTTGTCGGAAGCGTGCTCGCAACATTGGGTGACATCTAACCACGGCATCCAGAGCCGCTCGAACAGCCGCTCCTGGGACGGGCGCAGTGAACCGTAATACAAAGCTCTGGTTGAAGTGGTTGAGCCCATGAGGGTGCGCATCGAAGAACAGTTGCTGGATCGGGGATGGTAGCCACGCCTGACCGTCATGGCTCTCTTCAGCTGCAATGCGTGTGTTTTTGACTGCCATGGGTTTGCAGCGTCCAGCCAACTTCTCAATCGTCTTAGAACGAAGTACATCTCCGACCGTAACAGAGATATCTCTAGCCCTGCAGCGGGACACTATCTGCATTGCTGCGATCGAATCGCCACCCAGCGATAGGAATGGTACATCGATGGAAATCTTGTCGAAAGGAAGATTGAGCACGCCTGCCCAAACTTCTACGAGCAATCGTTGCAAGTCAGTCGAGGCGGAGACGTGCCTATCATGGACTTTATGGATGCTCTTGTAGTTGTCGTACATCGAGGCGCCCAACTCGCGAAGCTTGAGCCGATCTGTTTTGCCTGTGGCAGTCGTTGGGAAGGTGTCTAGTGGTATGAATGCAGCCGGAACCATATATGCCGGTACTCTGTCGACGAGATACTGCTCAATCTCCGTGACTGCGAGCTCCAACGCTTTGTCTCGGGGCTTCTCGTTGCTCATATTGTCATTCGTTGCGCACACGAACGCGACAAGGGTCAAATTCTGACTGTGGTTCGTTCTGATAACTTCGGCCAAGGCCTGCACTTGTGAAGAGATTGGACTGTGAGTCTCGTCTTGCCTCTGAAGCGCGCTGCGCATGTGATGTTCGACCTCGCTAAGCTCCACGCGCTGACCTCGGATCTTGACCTGCATATCTTTACGTCCAACGAAGAGCAAACTTCCATCTGGGTTGTATCGTACCAAATCTCCTGTCTTATAAAAGCGCCGACCAGACTGCTCTTGATGCCGAGGTAAATCTAAACCTAGCCAGGACGGATCTTGAATAAAGGCCTTGTCTGTCTTTTCCGAGTCGTTCAGGTAACCCTGGCCGAGGAGAGGACCTTCCAACCACAGCTCTCCAACTTCTCCGATCGATGCCAGCTTATCTTCACAGTCAGGATCCACCAACCAGGTGTTCACTCCGTAACCATTGCCTATGGTAGCTCCAGCTGATACATTGTCAGGGACTGCAACGGCAATCGTAGAGCCGGGTGTACACTCAGCAGGCCCGTAGACGACAATCGTCTTTCCTTCTTCACAGAGATGGAAGTCTGATGGCAGCACTGGCTCTCCTGCGAGGGCTAACACTTCAAGTTTTGATAGAGTGGCTTTTCCAATCACACGCGCTAGAGTGGGAGTAAAGAGCGCGTAAGTTACTTGATATCGTTGAATACAGCCCGCAGGGTCGTTCATTCGCTCCTCATCCGAAGCAATGCATAAACAGCTGCCATTATACATCGCATGAATAAAGTTGAACCAGGCCATATCAAAAGCATACGAGGTGAAATCAAAGACTCTGCTCTTAGGTGTGAATCCGAGAATATGCTGTTGGTGTTTGATTGCACTGCTGATATTTCTGTGCGTCACAACAACACCTTTGGGAGTTCCTGTACTCCCAGATGTAAACACGACATACATATTGCTAGCCGAGGTTATCGTAGGCAATAATCTGGACGCTTTGGTAGAAGTGAGATGCGATAGAAACTCTCTCCCTACGACGACAACACTGGCACGGCAGTCTAACGACTTGGCTAACTCCTCGCCAGCGACCGAAGATAGTATGATGCCAGGTTTCACTTGATCAACAATACTGCAGAGACGTTCTTTTGGTTGTGACACATCCATCGCCAGTGATGCGCCCCCAGCCTTCATCACTGCCAACATAGCCAGAGGAGTGTACATTGACTTTTCAAAGCAGAGTGGGACTATAGAGCCCTCGGTTACTCCTATAGCGACCAGATGCTCAGCCAATCGCGTAGAGAGCGAATCCAGCTGCCCATAGGTCAAGTCTCCGTCCCACGCACAAATCGCTGAAGCCTGTGGCTGATGGGCCGCTGTCCTAGAGATCAAGTCGTGGATGCATGTATCGGCAGCCTCTGGAACATCGTAGTTCCAGCGCCAGATATCGGCCACATCTTGACTGCTGAGTGTGCTGATCTCTTGTAGAGTTCTCGCCATGGCATGTTTGGTCTGGTCACACGCTTGTCTCAGGATGTGCTCGAATTGAAATGCTATTCGGGACACTTGGGCTTCATCAACAACTCCTGAGTCGAACCGGAAATTCAGAACCATGCCCTCAGTTTGCGTTGCGAATCGTATTTCCAGAGGACAAGTGATTGTCTTCTCGTGGTCAGAGTCCTGATGGGCGAATGGTTTGTCACCGTTTTGATAAGGATAACCATCTTTACCATCCCACTGCATTATGAGCAAGGTTTGAAAGCGACAGGCCTCCTCAGCCTGTGGACTAGCTTTTCGAACACACTCGAGCCCAACCTTCTGGAACGGTCTCCTCATCTCCACCTGTTGCCGTATCTTATTGACTGTCTCTTCCAAGGTGTTCGCCCAGTCTAATACCACTCGTACCGGGACTATCGAAGTTAAACCTTTACTAGAGGTCATGTCCTGTTCCGCTGTTCCGAATATCACGTCCCGTGAGCCAGTGCGTTTTGCTGCCAAGATTGCCCATGACATCTCTATGAGTACACTCAATGATGATCCATGCCAAGCCAAGCCTTCGATGCTATATGCGTGATTACTTATACTGCGAGAACGAGTCAATGACTGCGGGGCCGGAGAGGGGAACATTTGTCCTTGGTGGCCTGAAAACTGCTGTCGCCAGTAATCTGTCGCTTCTTCGTCACTAGTACCAGTGACGTGTCTGAAAAACCTCCTTTGGAGTCCTTCTAGCTCGCCCTTTAAATTATTATCATGTTCGCCTTTGAGATAAGATGATGACCCCGTGCCATTCGAAGCTGGGTAGTGCTGCGAGCTACCAGGCAGTTTTCCATTCGGTGAGCTTTTGGCATCGCTAAGAATGAAGTCGATTGCTAAAGTCGTAGTGGCTGCTAATTCGTAGGCGGTAACAGATCTTATGGATGCCTCTGAATAGATGATACTTATGTTCGTATCACTGCCGTTCAGCACAGCCTCCAGGATAACGTCAAACTACCCCTTGTTAGTTCAAGACAGAATCACAGAAGATCAAGCATTTACCTCGTGCGGATCATGGCCGTATATTTCGTCAAATCTGATCTCTCTTGTGCTCTCATAAAAAAACTGCTCCCGCACCGTTAGAGCAGTGTTGAACAGCTGCTCGGAGCCCATGCCCAATGCGTGTTGAATGTCTGCCAAAGACGAGTGTTGAAATCTAAGCTGCTCGATAGAATTCTCCGAAGTCTTGGCCAGAGTCTTGTCTAGATTTTGGTTGAGGTCGATACGGCTAATCAGTAGATTGATTAATGGTCCGATCATGTTTTCGATATCTCGGATTGGTGCATCACGACCTGAAGCCATATATCCGAAAGTGATATCGCTCATTCCAGTATACCGAGATAGAACGAGTGACCAAGCCACTTGCAGGAAAACCGAACGAGTTATACCCTTCGACCTACAGAAAAGATCGATCCCCGCAGCATTTTCAGCTGGAATTGTAATCATTCCGTGTGAGCTAGGGTCTGTGTTGGCCAAGGATCCATATGCCGGCGCATTCACAAGCCTACATGGTCGGGCTTGGAATAAGGAGTTGGTCCAGAATGCCAATTTCTCTTCCCTTGTCTGGTGCCTCAGGTGTTCCACCAAATTTCGAAATTGGGGAGCCCGCTCTATTGCTTGTCCTTGATAAGACTTGGCTAAGCTCTTGAGTAAAACGTGGAGCGAAGATGCGTCAATGAGAAGGTGGCTGATATCCAACCTGCAGGCGACATGGCCATCCGAGTTCCAGGCAATCGTAAAGGTATGGCTCGGCTGTCCCGCTGAGAATACTGGGCTTTCAACCTTCATTAAGGCGTCCGCAGGTAGTACTGACAATGTATCCATGCGCACAACTCGGCACTGCGAGTTACTGAGAAGTACTTGGACGAAGCCGCCACCATCTAGCTGCTCGGTGAAGATAGTTGATAGTATCGAGTGTTGGCTGACGACTAATCTCCAGGCTGCTTCCAGGCGATCCGGTGAGACGTAGTCCTCGTCAAAAGAAGGAATGCAGTTCCAAACCCAAAAGTTGGCGTACGAAGCCGCCCCCTTTTCTCTGCTCAGTAAAATGCCCTCCTGCACAGGAGTACAGGGATAAATGTCGAGGACCTCGGAAGACTTGACGCCAATCGGCAACAAGCGCTCTCTGAGCAGTCTTTCAATGCCAATGTTTGTAGTAGACAGCAGACTAAAGTCGCTCAAAGTGAATGTAGGTTCGGTGTTGGCCAATTGGTGAACGGCGAGGTTAAGATTATGCTGGGTTAACTTGGCCCAATCTTCAAGTCTGCCTTGATGATTCATGCGCTTGTTGATGTAGAACGAAAGAGCCAGTCTGCCTTGCACGATATCTGCACTGACCTCTACCAGAGAGAAACGCTGCGCTTTCGGAGATACTTCCTCAATACCAGATACCAGATCCAACCTATCTTCTGGCTGGAAGAGGCCATTATCACTCTCCAATTGCTGAAATCTTCCAGTATAATTGAGTATGACCTCCATCTCTCTATGGGAGTCGAAGACCCGACAGCCATCCTCGGTGTGGTAGCGATATGCAAAGTATGGCTGACCCTTGCCAGGAACTCGCCGCCGATAGTCCTTGACAGACTTGACAGCGGTAAGAATTGACTCGTCCACCGCAATGGGCGCATCAACAGGGTGCATCGATGTAAACCATCCCACGGTTTCTGAAAGATCGATATGTATGTCCTCGGGTGGTTCTCTACCGTGGCCTTCTAAGAAGATAGGAGGAGAACGACGGTCAGTAAATACTTGCCGGAACGAATACGTTAAAGCTGCTAGTAGAATATCCACTGGCTCGGTTCGATAACAGTCATTGCTTCGCCCAAGCAGCAAAGCAGTCGTTCTTTCATCCAGGCTCTCAACATAACTGCGGCAATGTGAACTATCGTTTTCTCCCAGCTTAACGCCCCAAAATCCGAAATCGGGAGCGGTGATGCGGGATGGAAGAACCTGTTCTGGCTGGAGGCTTTGACTGGTATGTCTCTGCACTTTGGACCATGCTTGGAATGAAATTGGTTCTGGAGCAAGTGCGCTTCCTTCACCAGCTCGTATATCTTGCTCAATATCGTGCCAAATGATCCGCCACGACATCAAGTCAATTATCAGATGATGTGCCGTTAACAACAGACTCTGCTGCTCTCCAGGGATGGAAAACACATCGACTGCAAATACAGGTCCGCTAAGTATACTTAATGACTCTTGTCGAGCCTTCGCAAAGGCCTGGACCTCGCTTCGTTGGCAAGCTACATGCCTCTCAAACGCAAAGGCATGTTGTGAGTCTTTGACAACAAGCTGCTGCCAGCACCCGCTTGAGTCTGGCCAGAATCGAGCGCGTAGCATTGGATGCCGACTCACGGTTGCTCGTATAGCTGCATAGAGCACGTCGTCAGATACAGGAGCTTTGAGCTTCAGCATGAAACTTTGATTGAAGTGATCAAGACCCTGAGGGTGAAACTCAAAGAACATTTGCTGGATGGGCGAGAGATGCCATAGTGTCTCTTCTGTAGATTCCTCAGCAACAACAGATTTCGGGTTTACCTCTTTGCAACACAGAGCGAGCTTTTCGATAGTCTTTGACCTAAGAATATCGCTGGTCGTAACAGATATGTTCTTGGCTCGGCAACGCGAAACGACTTGCATCGACGAGATAGAATCGCCGCCAAGCCGTGTAAATGCTGTATCAATAGCTATGCTTTCTAGCGGTATATTCAGAACCTCAGACCATATTGTTTGAAGAACTATCTCCAACTCGCTCGAGGGCGGGCGATATCCGTTCTTAGTTCTTCGAACACGGTGAGCTGAATACATCGAGGCGCCCAACTCTCGCAGACGTCGTCGGTCAGTCTTGCCGCTAGCTGTCATAGGGATGCTCTGCAGCGGGATAAAAGCTGTTGGGATCATATAGACGGGAACAGTTTCTGCCAGACGATCTTCGATCCCATCAGTCATCTTCCGCACATCATTTCCGTAAGCCTCCTTGTCGGCTGCTTCGGTATGGCCATGGTTCATCTTCGTGTAGACAAAGGCGATCAGCGTTGGGTTTCCGCTCCCCTCCGGTTCAATGATTTCAGCCACGATCTGGATACCGTTCTTATTAACGGTGGCGAGCAAGCTCTGTACATGATGCTCAACCTCTTGGAGCTCGATTCTTTGACCACGTAGCTTCACTTGTGTATCTCTCCGCCCAACAAACACCAACGATCCATCAGGGTTGTACCGAACCAAGTCGCCTGTACGGTACACTCGGCCATATCTCCCTATATGTCCCGGTCCTCCACGGCAAAGCCAAGGAGGGTCCTCAAGGAAGCTGTTTGCTGTCCTTTCCGCATCATCAAGATATCCAATGCCGACCAGAGGGCCTTCAAGGTACAGCTCACCCACAGCACCAATTGGTGATAGGCTTTGACCAGACGGCTGTACCACCCACGTCGTGCTACCTGCCCCTTTGCCGATGGTGCCATCATTCTCCTGTCCCGGACGTATATCCGTGTGTGTTGCCATTACGGTGCACTCCGATGGACCATAAATATTGAGCATCTTGATCCTGGTTGGCCAGTCGTAGAAATCATTCCTCCGTACTGCCTCTCCTCCAACAACGAGCGTCTTTAAGTTCGGGAGAGTGTTTGGGTCAAGGACCCTGGCAACGGATGGTGTGAAGAAGGCAAAGTTTGCCCCGAGCTGATTGATAGATTCGGCGATTTCATTCTTTCGTTGCTCTTCTGATGGGATACAGATGGAACCTCCTACAGATACAGGCAACAGGAGATTTGACCATGCGAAATCGAAAGCGTACGAGGCAAAATCATAAACTCGGGAAGATGGTTGGATACCAAAAGCCCGTATCTGTTGTTCGATTCCTGTACTGAAGTTGGAATGGGTCAGAGTCGTCCCTTTCGGGGTTCCCGTACTGCCAGATGTAAAGAGGGTGCAGAGAGCATCTAATGGTTTGATGAGGGGCAGGGGAGTCTGCGGCTGACGTTGAAGGCTGCTCAAGGTCTCCTGGCATACTGTAATGACCAGGCACTCTCCCAAGAGATTTGCAAGTGTCTCGGCACTGGCTGAGGATAGAATGTGTTTCGCCTTGGATTGCTTCACAATGGTGTAGAGACGTGCTTCTGGTTGCGTAGCATCCATGGCTACAGCTATTCCTCCAGCTTTCATTACTGCCAGCATAGCAACAGGCGCCCATTTGGATTTTTCGAGGCAGAGCGGGACTCTCACATCTGCCCCTATCCCAATACTAATGAGGTGTGAGGCTAGAGTATTCGAGTAGTTGTCAAGCTGGGCATATGTCAGTCGGCCATCCCACGCACACACAGCCTCTGCATCTGGCTGACGGCGAGCCACCTGGAGAAACAAGTCGTGTGCACAATTATCGATACTTTCCGAGGGTTTGTCGTTCCAATTCCAAATCGTTTCCAGATCGTGACTATTGGTGATCTCCACGTCTTGAAGCCTTCTCTGTCCATTCCCATGTACACATATCTGCTGAAGTATGTACTGGAACTGCTCTAGTAAGCGGGAGACTCTCTTACTTTCAATGACATTTTCGTCAAAGTTGGCATCCAGGCGCATTCCTTTTGCTCCTAAGCGACACTCAACCACTAACCCATACGAAAGTAGTGCGTTATACTCAATGTTGGAATCCTCACTTGATAATGAGGGACGGAAGATTGTATTGCTCTCGTTGTCTTCATCATACGGCTGTACCACGATGAGCGTCTGGAAACGACATGCCTCCTGGGCATCGGCACTAGCTTGGCGAATACGCTGGAGGCCGGTATGTTCGAATGGGATCATGTTCACTGCCTGCTTCTGAACCCTGGCGATGATTTCATCCACAGTCTCTAGAGGATTCGTAACGATTCGTAGCGGCACTGTCGAAATTGTTGGAGCAGCAATTCTCTCTATTCCCGCAATCGGGCTTTGACGCCCAGCGATGGTTGTCCCGAATATGACATCACTAGAGCCGGTGTAGTTTGAGATCAATATCGACCACGCGGCCCGGATCAAATTTGAGCCAGTGATCTCAGTGCTCCCCCATTCCAAACTCTCAATCATAGACGTCAGCTTGCTGGTCGGCCGAGGATGATATCCCGCCGAGGGCAAAGCAGGAAACTGAGCCGCCTCTAATCCCGTAAACTCGGTTCTCCAAAACGATACTGCCGCTGTTTCTTCTGCGTCAGCTAAATGTTTGACAAAGGTCTGGAAAGGTTGAAGATATGGAATCGGCTTCATCTGGTACGCGTCTTTCAAGGCGTTCATGATCAACCGCATCGACCATCCATCGTACAACGCATGGTGAATAGTCCAGACCAGATACCTCGAGCTCGAGGCTTCAAATAAAACGCCGAACCGACTTAGCCGGGTACCCAATCCCATATCTTTCCGCCGGGTATCGTCAAGGTAAGTCTCAAGCTCATCCACCATTTCCCATTCCACATTCTCGTTCAGTATTACTTGCACGAGCCCTTGCTGAGGTATGTCGACGATCCTCGTTCGTAATATCGGTGCTACGGTAGCAACCTGCTCCCAAGCATTCCGCAGACGTTGTGCGTCTGTCATCTCATCCAAGTCGAGAGTGATTGAGGCAACATAGTCGCCCTGTCGTCTCCCTGACAGCGCCATTAACCCTTCTTGGAGCGGCGTACAAGGGAAAATATCTTGGATGTCGGTGGCGTTCACGCCACACATCGCAGCAGCCTGCGTCTTCACATCTTCCACGGGTCGGTGCGATTTCAAAAGAGAGAAGGCTGGGATAGTCTCACTGTGCAATATCGCCCTTATCTTGGTGATCTTGGCCAGTGAGTCGAGTCTCGGGTGATTAAATAGATCCGCAACGGAGAAGGATAAACCATTCTCGCGTGCAATTCCAACAAGCTGCATTGCTCGAACCGAGTCGCCGCCAAGTCGGAGGAAGCTGTCATCGGCGCTGATGCTGGTTGCTTCAATATCTAAAACCAACGCCCAAAGAGCCTGCAGGTTCTTCTCCATGTCGGTGCTGACAGGCCGTGAAGGATGACTGGGCTGAGTCAAACTGTCTAGTTGCCGCGGAGTTAACAAGCTGCCGAGTTCCCGTAGTTTACGGCGGTCTGTCTTTCCAGTCGCTGTCAATGGTAGGGCGTCAATCGGGATGTATGATGTCGGGATCATGTACACCGGAATCTTGCTGGCCAGACGTTTGTCTATGCCAGCGGTCATTTTCTGGATAGTCCGATTCCGCGCCTCCTCATCGGCGAAACCGGTATCAAGACAGATAAATGTGACTAGTGTGGGAGTGTTGCTGCCTTTGGGAACAATGACCTCGGCGACGATCCGGGTCAAGGTGGTTCTGTCAACATCGACATCGCTATCGCTCCGTTTCAGAAGTTCCTGGACGTGATGTTCCACCTCGCCAAGTTCCACACGCTGACCTCGAATCTTGACTTGTGTGTCCTTCCGCCCAACAAAGGCTAATGACCCATCTACCTGGTATCGTATCAGGTCACCCGTCTTATAGAGGTGGCCTCGTCTTCCGCTACAGCCTGGTCCGCCCTCCGTGAGCCAGGGGGCATCTTTCGTAAATGCGGCTGCTGTTCTCTCCGGATCATCCAGATACCCATCGCCGAGTAGAGGCCCTTCCAGCCACAGCTCACCGACTTCGCCAATAGGAACCAGTCTGTCTGGATGAACTGGGTCGACCACCCAAGTCACCACGCCGTATCCTTTTCCAACAACAGGTCCTGCTGGTGTGGTTGTTATTTCGACAACTGTTGAACCTGGCGTGCACTCTGCAGGTCCGTACGAAATTATGGTGCGCCCTTCAGGTCCGCACAGAGTGGTATCCGATGGTAGCACGGGTTCGCCAGCAAAGACAAGTACCGAGAGCCTTGAGAGGACCCTTCTTCCCAAAACACGTGCCAGCGTTGGGGTGAAAAAGGCATATGATATTCGATATCGTTGAATACAACCGGCAACGTCATTCTTTCTTTCATCTTCTGATGGTACACATAAGCAGCCCCCCACTGATAATGTGTAGATGAAGTTATACCATGCCATATCAAATGCATAAGAAGCAAAATCGAATACTCTAGAGTCGGCGGTAAACCCAAGCGCGTCTCTCTGATGCTTGATGGCACTACTAAAATTGCTATGTGTGACAATGACTCCTTTGGGGGTGCCAGTGCTGCCGGAGGTATACACGAGATACAATGCACTGGATGAGGAAATTTTCGGTAGTTCAAGAACGGGAGATGGGAGTGATTGCTTGAGATGTCTCTCGCTAACAACAACCACCTTGCATTTAGCCAGCCTTTGAGCAAGGACCTGATGCGTCTCTGATGCTAATATCACATGAGGTTTGGCCTGGCTCACGATTGTGTGTAAGCGTTCCTCGGGCTGAGTGATGTCCATTCCTACAGATGCGCCGCCGGCCTTCATCACCGCGAGCATAGCCACGGTAGTCCACATCGACTTCTCGAAGCACAGCGGCACGAACATATTAGGCCCAACTCCGAGGCCAACAAGACGACAAGCCAATTGGCTTGAAAGATCATCCAGCTCTCTATAGGTGAGGGTTCCATCCCAAGCGCAGACGGCTAGAGCATCCGGCTGCCGATGTACTGACTGAGATATCAAGTCGTGAACACAAGCGTCGACACGCTCTGGCACGATCGCATTCCATTGCCAGATGCGACTGAGGTCCTGCTCGCTGACTTGGACATCGTTTTGCGAGGGTTTTTGCACATGCTCGCCGTTACTTGAATCCCGTGGGATATTCCCTAGTTGGCCAGCCATTGCTGTCGTTCGCGTTGAATCGAATCTCCAACAGCAGCAATTGTATGGTTCTCAGTTACACTGCCGAGTTGCACGTGGCTACGGTCGGTGCAGAACTGCCAGGTGTACAATCTGAAGACTGAAGAATATTCCCTGTCGGCTTCAGTAGGAAGTAAGCCGGCAGATCAATTGTTCCATTGCTTGACGTACAAACCCGATTACAAATATGTCGATTCCTACTACTAATATGGGAAGCTTGTCTTGCATGATGCTCGTTCTCAAACCAATACGAAGCCTTGATTGCAAAAGAGCCCCAAATTTGGCAATTTAATCCTTGGCCTGCAGTTTTGGAATCCATACGAAAGTGAGAAGTCCACGCAAAGCCACCCCCAGAAACCAATCAACTGACCAGATGCCTAATGCAACGTCACTACCAAGAACCAGGTCAGGGGGAACGCATACCCCATCCTAAACAATACGACGCCACTTACTCAGCCTACTGTCGTCATTATCCAGCAATATACATGAAATTTCGACAACAAACAATGAACTTTTGAGATGTACTTTCGTGGTTGACTCAGCCAAACCCGACGTATGAAGACACCACTTGCTTTCCATGAACCAATGGATAATCCACGGCGTAACGTTGCAGTGAAACACGCTAACATATCAAATCCTTGCTCATAAGCGAAGGATCCCCCGCAGTGAACGGATTTTAGGGCTTATATGATACGATACAGTCAAGGTCTCTGCGAGAAAGTCGGTAAGGCACGTATCAGGATGACTTTCTTGCTAAAACCTACTACAGGCGGTGTTATATCTTCTAGGACGAGATACAATATCAAAGGAAAATTTATAAATTACCGTTGTCTTACTGCAGCATTTTGGCGAATCGATTCCTATGGCGATTATCTCGCCTCTCAAGGAACACACTATTTCTGATCCACAAATGACAAGTGCCCCCTAGTCTACGAGTTGTCACAAGACTAACCCGAAACAAATCGTTCCTGCGATCCTGGTTTAGATAGTATCGGTAGATAGAATTGACGCAAAAGGGATGGGTTGGGAATTTCGACATGGGGGCTTTCATGGATGGTTATGGGGAATACGTCAAAGACTTTCTCCTGTAGAGCCCTGGTAGCATCAAGGGTGGATAAGCTCTAAGTTACGCAATTCTTCTACTGAGTAGTCGATTAGTATTGGTAAGACCCTGATTCGAAAAACAATAAGACAGGGACCGCTGAGAAAACTTGTCATTGCTGAGCCCCGCATCATGTTGCAGCCGGTGTCTATTTACCACTCACGCTCAGTAACATCTACATAGTCTCTACCACTTAGGTAGTAAAGGCGCTTTTAGAGACTTCACCTTTGTTTTTAATTGACGCACTATTGAATGAGAACTGAGGAATCAGGATAGTTTATCGCATCAATTGAAGTCGAGGTTGGCATGAATTGCGCTCGCAATAGGGTAAGACAATAAAACAATCATTCTGTACATACGGAAAATATACATCAACGGAACGGAGATATATTCAGACACCGTTTTCCTTGCACCCAACATTCGACGAGTACTAACACCGATGGCTAACTAGCTATGAGTAGCAAATTAGCGGTGTAGATCAACGTTGAGTTCGCTGATCCTGTTCCGGATATGCCGGCCGAAACTGCCTCGCAGAACCCTTAAGGTTACATATGTAACCCTCACACCCGGCCAAGTGCCGAGCTCCAAGAAGCCACATGGCCACCCGTGTTGTAAGAGAAAACCAACCTCAGACAGGATCCTTGAAATGCCGCCTCCGGTTTTCGTTCTCATCCCAGGTGCTTTCGGCACACCCTCTGGATACGACGAACTCGTTCCTTATCTTGAAGAGGCCGGCTTCAACACCAAACCGGGCCCGTACCCAAGCTCCAACCCCGCCGATCCTTCTACAGCGACCTGCGAAAAAGACATTGAGGCTCTTCGTGAGGGGATTCTCATTCCTCTTCTTGAGCAAGGAAATGAAGCTGTTCTTGTAGCACATTCTTACGGCGGGGCAGTCGGTAGTGCAGCTGCCACCGGTCTTGACAAGACGACCCGCGCTGCTAAAGGCCTACCGGGTGGTATCATTGGTCTGATCCACATTGCAGGGAATATTCTGCTCGACGGCGAGACCCTTCAGGCCGCTGTTGGCGGGGCCTATCCTCCGTTCATCAAAACAGACAAGGTACCATGCTGAGTCCTCCACATCTGCCGCACCAACGTACTCTAACGTCGCCCTCATTTAGCCATCGACAGGTCTCAGCGTGATCGAGCCAGCGATGGATGTTCTATACAACGATTGTGATGCAGCTCTAGCTCCAGAGTTGGAGGCCTCAGTGACGCCTCACTCGACCCTGGCTTTCGAGACACCGCCAACTGCACCGGCTTGGGCTGATTCGGCATTTGATGGGAGACGAACTTATGTACGCACATCTGAGGATTGCTGTATTCCTCCTGGCCTGCAGGACATGTGGCTGGAAAAGACTGGAGTTCAGTGGGATGTAGTTCACTTGAAGGCTGGCCATATGCCCTTTATCAGCATGCCGAAAGAGTTGGCGGAGCAACTTGTAAAGTCTGCCAAGGGTTTTATAGAGCTATAGAGTGCATGACCTTCTCAACATTGGCATCCTAATAAGATCTACTTTGCAAAAAAAAAATGATAGTATCTGAAAAGAGTAACATTAACACCAATCCTTTCTTCGTCACCTATTTACCCTATAATCCGTGACAACGAAGAAACTAGAAGTAGACCTATGATATTGGGGTGGATGGAAGACAAGACCCTGTCTCAGACAAGAACCAAGTATTAGTTCTAGTAACACGGATTTATAAAACCTATTGCTAGTTTCTTGACCACTAAATAGTCCATAACTATCTTAAAGATTTAGGAATCTCACACAGAGCGAGCCATTCCCGCAAGAAGCATTGGGAAATCCTGAGATTTAGCTCCTTGCAAACCCGGTCGTAGAAAGCCCTGATCAGCCTCAAACTTGTCTTTCATAGCCATCAGCTCTTCCACATCCCAGTTCGTCCATAGAAAGCGTCCGTGAAGAAACTGAGCCTTCTTGGTAGCAGCCCAGACAAAAAAGTTGCCCGGCAATGATGCGTCATCAAATGGAACTCCTAGACTATCGGCCTTGTAGCCATGGGTCATGTTCTCCGGTGTAAGAACAAATCCAGGATGCTAGATTATGGCAAAATTAGAATGCACTGATGTCTATATAACAGCTCATCGAATGTACTCACAATACTTAGGATTTGCATCTGATCAACCGGCGTATTAACTGCCAAGTCGGAGAGCATTCGGTTAAACGCGAGACGAGTAGAGCTAGCAGCCGTATAATGCATTGGAAGTCCATGAAAATGGGTCGCATTGGTTGATACATAAATGAGGACCTAGAATGTCAACAGCTATATGCTAAGAAAAGAGGTGGTTTTCTTGGAAATAAGAGTACCTTGCCCTCTTTTTTGCCTTGTCTCTGGAAGCGATCAACATTTATTGACTGGTTTCTGACAGCAGACTCGAAAAACTTGAAATATCCTTCCAAAGTCTGCTCAGCTGTAAATAGTGAGTTAGCCTCTTGGGAGAAATCCTGGAGAACACGTCGCAATCCACTTACGCTCCGGAGCAGCAGGCACAAGAGCTGTAGCGTTCAGCACCAGTACATCGATCTGGATGCCATCACGTTCCAGGCTATCCCACAGTGCCTTGACAGAGTTGACAGAGTTGATCTCGTACTCATATCCCACTACCTTGGTCTTGCCATTTCCTGCATCCTCGATCTCCTTGGCCACATTGGTCGCCTTTTCTCCTGATCGAGAAGTAATGGCAACCGTGTCAGCTCCTGCGGTGACGAAGGCTTCGGCCGCAGCGCGCCCGATGACTGCGGATCCGCCGGTGATCAGTACCTTGCGTCCTGCTTGCGACTGCTCAGGGGATGCTGCATCTATGGCAGGGTAATTCTTTCGATGGAGGGTCTTGGTGACTTCAGACATTGCAAACCCGTATTCTCTACACTTGGTATATGCGTGCGTATGAATTAGAATGCTTCTCGAGAATGAGGGGTACGGCTGTTGGCTCTGGGCGGCGGTGTGGCCTACGTATGAGATACTGGGTATTTTCCATCATTAGCCAATCAAAATTCATTTCTCTCAGTGCTACGTCAGATTTCTTTCACCTTTTCTCTGCGGGTTCTCGAACCAGGATGAGGATGACGAGGAGCATAAGCGCTAAGCGGGCAACGGACTTTGGCACGGAGGACCCTCGAATTAGTGGCGACTGGGGGAGCCGCTCAATTTTGACTTTCTCATTTGCCATGTCGATTTAATCTTCGAGGCCTTGATCTCAGTAGGGACAAGGCAAAGAAAATCACCTTAATATATTTGGGGCACTCTAGAAGTTGTTCATGCTGTTCCATAAGAGCTCGCTTCCCGACAGAGCTTAGGGCGTAACTCCCCTTTCATCAAAAAGGAATATATGCAAGTAGCTGACTGTGATTGAACAATGATTTGGCCCAATTCCATTATAAACATAATCCTCAAAAGATAAAAGTCACCACGAAGATGCTCCAACGATTCCCAATCTCAGTAGCATTGTAGCGCACCAAGTCAAACTTTGTACTATTGCACGTTACAGTTTATTATGAATTAGACATTCCCTTAGACCTCTCTGCCGCTTTCATGATAGCAGCCGTAAATGCAGATCTCACGCCCAGTCTCTCTAATTCCAAGAGAGCCCTGATTGAACACCCACCCGGAGAGGCAATGACCTCGCGAAGAACGCTTGGGTGATTTCCAGCTGGGACCAGCTTCATCATTCCGAGGGCACTGTTCATCACCATCTCGGTTGCTTCGGGGCGCTTGACGCCTTCCGCGACAGCAGCATCAAGAAGTCCGTCGACGGCCAACAAAAGAAGCGACCCAGCACAGCCGACCAGAACCGCCGATATATCAAACGTACTCTCAGGGACAAACTTTTGTTGGCCGACCTGTTGATATACCCACGACGCGATTTTTTTATTCTCCGTGGTCAGCATGTCAAGATTGGCTGTTGAAAGACTCATTGCCTCCCTGATCTTGGCGGCAATGTTGGGCATAGTGCGGACAGCCTGCAATGGCTGCTGCCTCTCCAAATCTCCATCGCCTCCCGATGCCAGGCGTTGCAGCTCCTTGGTAGAAATTCCTGCCATGATACTCAGCAGTAGTTTGCCTCGAAGGGCGTCGCGGAACCCTGGAACATCGAATATCTCTTGTCTCTTCACAGGTTTGGCTGACAAAAGAACAACATCTGCCTCTTGAACCGCTCGAACATTTTCTGTAGCGAGCAGGACTTGAACCCTAGATGAATGCTCGGAAAACTCCGTTTCGACTCGAGATTTTGAGTGTTCTGTGCCAACTGTGGCAATGAGACGCTTGATCTGAAACGAATCTTTGTCGAGTGGATCCAAGATCCCTCGAGCGATCGCAGTTCCAAGGGTGCCTTCATGTGGATGATTAGATTTGGCTAAAGATATGGGTGATCGAATCTTGGGTCTGCTTACCGCAGCCGATAACGGCAAATGTGAGAGGACCTGTTTTGGTCATGTTGCCCTGGTTGGAAAGAGAAAATGGGGGGGGGAACTAGGTGTCTTCTTCAACTCCAGGTGTGCGCCCAATATCTTGAATGTTTTGTGAGGTGGAACTGGAAGGTCTTCAATTCCTTTTAAACACGAATCCTGAACAATTCTAAGAGGGGTATACAAGCAGTGAAGTCGAGTTACTTACCGGCCCGAGAATCGTCCTCCGATTACGCGGGGTTCGACCATCGCACGCCGGCCCGAGACTCGTGGTTTTTCCCCACGACCAGGAAGTTCGATTGAGACCAACTCTTTGTAGCTACAGAAGCTAGTCCTCTGTTAAAATGTCGCTATCAAAGGGGATCATGGTGTATCACTCCTATAAACAGACCTATTCTAAACCCCTGATCAACTGCACAATAAGGTAGCCGGCGGTGAGGAATACAAATTACACTACAATAATAAAGTACACTTATTACATTCATGTAATCGGAGCTAAGTTCTTTTGATAAGCTCTGCGGACAACAGCATAACCGGAACATCAATTGCTTCGTGTCCTCATGTTGACTTGGCATATTGCCCGAAAGCCTTGCCACTTATTTCAAGACACCATGAGCCTTCTTTCTCTCTCTCTCTCTTTCGTACTTAAATTGATTGTATCAAGAACTTCAGCAGCAAATAAGACATCCTCAAGCTTGTGACATGAAAATCATCGTTGGTTGTAAACCTGTTAGATATTCTTAAGGGGGCAACAGAATTGTGATTTAATTCAGGACTCGTGAATATTATCCAGTATCAGTATAAATGAGGGCAATAGCACACTTTATTTATCTAGAGATCAGAGAACCTTTACTCTAGAATATGGCAAGGGCTAAGTGTAGTGCTACTACACTCAAAAGACTCCTTGATACATCGAATACTCGAGAACCTCAAAAGCACATTCACCGAATTAGCTTTATCGTTTGTGCCACTGGACCTCGCGCCTCCAAAAGGATGCGCGCCAATTACGGCACCTGTGCATTTGTCGTTAATGACAAACATACCGACAGAGTCCCTCAGTTTCTCGCTCGAGAGCTTGATGGCATCTCTGTCGCGTGCGAACACGGCCCCTGCTAACCCATACTCAGTTGTGGTATCAATCAAATCGCAAACGTCCTCAAAACCAGTAGGCGATGCGTCGTCATATGTCTGAACGGCGAACATGGGACCAAACAGCTCCTTGGTCATCAGATCACTCTGACCCGTCATGTCGGCAGGGTTAACCTCGAAGATTGCTGGTTTGATGAACAGCCCTTTGGACCCATTTTGAATCCCGCCATAAATCAACTTGTGGCCATCTTTCTGAGCCTGATCTATAAAATAACCGAACCGATCAAAGGCTGCCTTGGAGATAATTGGCCCAAGGGGATGGTGGAGCTGCTTGACATCATCTCCATGCGTCATCTTGGCTGCCTCTCTCAGTAACGCAGTCTTCAAATCGCCTTGTTCCCACATAGTCTTAGGCACAAATAGGCGGGACAGAGCACTGCATTTTTGTCCCTGAAACTCGTAAGCTGAGCGAACTGCCGATGACGCGAGCCAGTCAACATCGTCTCTGCAGGAATTATGGACCAGATGAAAGTTCTTGCCACCACTCTCGCCAACCACACGAGGAAAGGTCTTGTAGAGTTTTGCATTGGTGCCGATTCGGGCCCAGAGACTCCTTAATACGGAAGAAGATCCAGTATAGTGTAAGCCAGAGAAGTGAGAGTTGGCGAGAGCGGGCTCGACGACAACATTTGGGTCTGCCACTGGCAAGAACTGAACTACCCCGCTTGGTAGCCCAGCTTCCTCCATTACTTGATACATAATGTAATTCGACAAAACTGCCATGGGTGAAGGCTTCCATAAGATCACATTGCCGAGGATGGCAGGTGTGAACGCGATATGTCCACCTAGAGCGGTAAAGTTAAAAGGGGATATGGCCAGAATGAAACCTTCGAGTGCTCTGTAGTCCAGGCTGTTGTATGCAGAATCGGATTGCTTGAGGGGCTGCTGCTGATAGAGTTGGTGACAAAAGTAGACATGAAAGTTCAAGGTATCAATGACCTCGGCAATACAATCGCCCTCGGCTTGCCCACACGACTTGCCCTGCCCTATCATGGTAGCTGCCATGAGCTTCCATCTGTATTTTGTTTCCACCAGCCTAGCGGCCTTCTTGTAGATGGCAGCTCTGTCCCGGAACGGCATGTTGGCCCATTTCTTCCGCGCCTCAAGCGCACCCGGAATAGCTTTATTCTTGATAGTTTCTTCGTCGACTTCGTGGAATTGCGCCAGAGGGGATCCCTTATAGTCCCAAGGATTCGGCTGTGGTTGTCTTTTGCCGGAGAACAATCTTTCACCATTGATGATGCTTGGAACATCGACTGTGGTGTTTTCCAGTTCAGCCAGCGCGGCTTGTAAGAGTTTCCTCTCTTCACTACCAGGGGCATATGAAAGCTACAGGTCCTAATATTAGTAAATCACTACCGGTATATAGGGCAGGAAAGACACTCACCCCGTCTGCATTCGTAGGCTCGGGGTAACGGAGTAAAGAGGCCATTGTTAAGAGGGAAATTGTGATATTCCACTTCGGAGGACAAGATGCTGCGAGATCTTGACGCCAATTTCGTCAGCAGCATTCTGTTCTGACGCAAGTATATAAGCCGAGAGTTGCTAAGCCGGGAATACGGGGCAGAGTATCGGTTTCATGGCGTTTTTGTGGGGGCTCGGGCACGGAAAGCGAAGAAGGAGTGTTTAAGTCTACCTGTGCCGGACCGAGATATTGATATCAGGCGCTTCAAACCAACATGACACCAGTGTCGGCCCGGGAATCTTGGACACCATCTTTCAATCTAGTCAAATCCTCAAGTCCAATTTTCAGATGTGTACGGCTATTTTTCGATCACCATGAAGCAGGTTTTCCGGCAATTCCCAACCGATGCACCAAAAAAGGATAGGAGGAAAAAACCGTCGCCATCATTAAACCCATAGCTATTAACTTCATTCAGAAGAGAGACATACACACCTTTTTACTACAATCACATAAAACCGTCAAGAACAGATATATAAGACCTCAGTTTTAGACTAGCTATAAACAACTGTCATTTCAATACACTGTTCTCACACATTTCCATTAGTATCTGATCTCTTCCACCAGGTGACCAACTGCAACATTTCTGTCCAAAAACCAATAGGCTGTTCCTCAAACTGCTCTTCATATGCGTCAATGACTGGCTTTTCCCAAACAAGATCAACTTCTGATACGGGGATGATTTTAGTTCTCTTGATAAGTTTCCAGCCTGAATAAGTGATTATGGCAACAAACACCATGGCGTAATACGAGAAAAACGTGCCAACGCTCCAAGGAGTAAAGCTTGAGTAACCGTAAAAGATGACGACAAAGGATGTGAAGATCAAGCCGAGCCATGCACTATATGGCTGGAACCAACCAACATAAGGGAAGGTCTTCCGATCAACACCCTGTGCTTGGCAAGCGCGATAAAACGCGATATAAGTGATGCAAATGACGATGTAGTTGATCACACACCCAGCCGTAGCAAGGTTGATAAACCACTGAAGCACTGTAATTGTGCCACTTCCGAGTTGCAGGTAGGCCAGCAATGGAAACAGCATCGTCACAAGGTAACAGTAGATAGGAACACCGTTCTTGGACGTCCTGGCGAGAAATCTTGGTGCCCGTCCTTCCAGCGCCATGCCGTGGAGACTTCGAATAGCGCAGAAAGCATAGGTATTTCCCGCTGAAAGAATTGACGTGAAGATCAGAGCATTGACTATATCAGGAAGAATATCGATCCCCATATTCTTCATAGCAATGACATAAGGGGAAGCAGCAGCTGTTCCCGCGCCGTCTCCTCCAGATATCGTTTTCTGAAGGGTAGGGTCGTTGAACGGCACCACGATTCCTGTACACAAGGCTCCGCCGATAAAGAAGAGACCAAACCGCCAGTATGCGGTCTTGAACGCCGCTTTCATATACGTTCGTGGAAGCTTGGCCTCTGCAGAAGCCATTGATAGATATTCGGGACCGACCACCATAAATGACGCCACCCATAGAGTATTCAGGAACCCCTCAAAGCGGCCAAGGTGGCTCTCTGAATGCCACTCTGCAAAAGATCCAGGACTTTTCCAATATCGAAATCCATATGGGTCACGGCGGGGATTTGCTCCGGCCATTGTTAGGAATGTGAAGCCGAAAAGAATAAAGACCAGAATCACTTTGAAACTTGAAAGCCAGAATTCTGCCTCTCCGTATAACGAGACCGCAAACATGTTAAGCAAGCTGCATGAACACCATTGGTTAGGGAACTGAGTGGAAATATGTATGAATGGAAATGGAAGAGAAGCATACCAATATAAAACGATTGCTGCTGTGACAACAATAGCAGGATGAATATCGTCTCTCCAGTACCCCAGTACGACATTCAACGCGGTAATCTCAAACGGGATCAGGATAGCCTCGTAGAGAAAAAAGTTCCAGCCAACCATAAAGCCAAGAGCATTATCAACCCATTTGCCTGCCATTCTGATAAATCCGCCTTCAACAGGTATCAAGACTGCCATTTCGGCCATGCAGTTGTTGACGAGACCAATGAAGAAACAATACACCATGAAGCCTATCAAGAGACTCCCAGGTCCCCCCTTGGCCAAACCGGTCCCGATATTGATGAATAACCCGGTGCCGATGGAGCCGCCGATGGCAATGAGTTGAATCTGCCTATTTCCTAAGCGGCGGTGCAGTTGGTTTCTGGTACTGATTGATTCGCTAGTACCTCGGCGGGCAATAGTTTCTGGACGTCCAAGACTATCACAAGCCTTTTTCCCTGGATTGGTCCCGCTCAATATTGTCAATGATATTCAAAATAAAGCGAAATATTTGGATGAATCAAAGGGATTTTCTTTCAGAGATGGGGTTGGCAATAACAAAGACAAGCCTGAAGGCTGCGGGTGTGTTTCAAAGGGGCCGAAGCCCCCTTTTGTACCAAATCAACGTTATGTACTTGGCTACTCCGGCTATACAATCCTACCCCTATCCACCTTCACGTGAATGATCCTTGTCTTCTGCGTCATTGTCATTGTTTAGGACCGAGTTGGAGCAGAGGCTAGGCTGTAAAGTAGGGTTGCAAAAACGCGGAGATTGATAGGAGTCTGGGGTACATCGGTTTCCGTTTCCGAGAACAAAAGCTTAGCTGCGATAACACTACGGACAAATTGGACGCGCGGAACAGTCTCGGACCACTTTGGTAATGGCTAGTCATTCATCGACTCCAGTTTTGATAAGAACTGGACGCAAGCCAAGGAGAAACAACAAGTCTCACGTCTTCATGCAAATGGCAAGATACTTATGCACCCCGACTTCAAGCTGACATCTTCTACTCTTATAGACCAGTCTCATGTCCAAGAAAGGCCTTCTTGAGTTCTGGACAAAGGATAGACCAGGATGGGGGGTCACTTCTCGTCAGGTTACCTGAACCGTATCTGCTCTTTTCACTATCTTCACATACCAACATATTAGTAAAGCTTTATTTCATATACAACTTCCTCTAGACATACATCACCATGCTTCCGTAGCCGGAGGGAAATGACAAGATAAGATAGCAAGCTAAGAATGGCATAGCTCTAGTTTCTCCATAAATATGGTCTCGATGCGGGGAAGCATGATGAGTAACCAAACAACTGGGGAACATTGGTTACCGTCTTCTTCTGGAGTTTACACCACATGCATCAATCTTCTTCCATCTTGAACCCTTTACTTAGTCAACACTATTTGCCTTTATTATCCGAGGCTCTATGAAAGAGCTGGGCTTGCGCCTGCGGCGACAATGCTTCCCCAGCAAACTAAACGATCTCGTGTGCCCAGAAGAGCCCCTCGGGCGTACGTGAGCTACCTACTCATCAATATCATGTTTATGCATGGCAGCCCTAACAGTTGCGATAGGTGCCAACAGTGCCGCTCCGCCAAAGTAAGATGCTCGGGCAGCCACCCTTGCACAAGATGCAACCGCCGGAGAGACAACTGCATATTCCCTATTGATGATCCAAAAGTGTCCGTTTCAGAGAGGTAGGTAGTCCAAAAAGCCAGCTGTTATGTGCTCTCATCGCGAGCCGATAGTTTAGGTATCTATTACAAATCGAGCAACAAATAGCAAGCGCAGCAAGAAACCCAGATGACCCTACGCCCCCTCTTGTCCAAGAGAAAACGGTTATTCAGCTAGATCAAAGACCAACCACGCAGAATGTCGATGCTGCGTCTCCATCTGTAGCTTGGAACAGGCCGGGAACCAGTTACCAACACAGTAACTCGATATCACAGAGTGAGTAACTTTCGAATAGGGAACAGCAAAATAGAAAGACTCTTGCTAAAATTGATACATAGATACCTCGCCAGCTGCAGACAGGCAAGAAGATGTCAATAATGACCGCCCGGATAAGATCTTTTCTAGTAATCCTTTAGTGAAAGAAGTAACTTATCTAAGAGACCCAAAGGGTCGCTACCGTAAGAAATCTGCTTCTGGACTGTCAGATTGCTCTCGTTGGCTAATAGGCTTAGACTTCATGGGACCTACCTCTACCTGGTCTTTCTTTCGCAGACTTGTTGCATTAATCGAACATAATGTTTCTCAGCCTACTGGTAGCCCAAGTGATCCATTCAACAACGATGGGACCATTTTCCGAATCAGATGGAACGCGGTACCTTCAGACCAACATCCAAGGGTAGACCAGCTACCTCCAGTTGACTATTCTATCTTCATTTTTCACACCGTCAAGTTTCGCCTTGGCTTATACTCTCACATAATAGATGAAGAAGGCTTTCTAGCGACGCTGGGGCAGTTTGAGACCAATCCTCAGGAAATTGCTCATCGCAATCGTCTATGGTTTGCCGAATATCTTCTAATTCTAGCCTTTGGAGAATCATATACAACACATGCTGAGACTACGCCCACGTCGACAGGAGCAATTTATGCGTCTCGCGCTATGGCGGTGATACCTGAGATTGGCCAGCTCCACGAAGAAGGTCTACTGGCAATCGAGGTATTAGCTCTAGCGGCATTATGGTTTCATTCTGTCGACATGAGAGTCAGTGCCTATCAATATGTATGTTGCTGAAAAATGAAGGCGCAAGACCTCCCAACTAATATTTTCCAGATCGGCCAATCACTCCGTCTGAGCTATGTTGAAGGGATATACAGGGAGCTGCCAGATGCCACATTCGGATCCAAATTTACGCTCCGATGCAAAAGCCTCTGGTGGGGAGTTTACATCCTTGATAGACAGTTGTCAGCCCAAATGGGGGCACCGAGTAATATTAAGGATGATGAGATCACCATGAGCCTTCCCTGGCACAACGATGACAGCACAATGGCGATCAGTCTGACTCTTTGTATCAAACTATCTCGCCTCCTAGCCACCATCACATCTAGTAAGTGTAGATTATCTTCATAAATGGACTTCTAAACTAACACGAAACTAGCTGTTTATGCGGTTAACGATGAGCTTGGGAGCTCATTCATACAAAATACAAAAATAGCAATCAAAGGGCTTACAGAAGTTGCTCAAGAAAGCGACCAGATCATGACGCCCCGCAACCAAAACACAGCTCCTTCTCGAGTAGTGAGTTCAATCACTCTCATGTATCATCACTGTATTATGCAAGCAACAAAACCTTTGATGATGTGCCTTATGAAAGAATTCATTGGGCCATCAAACTTTGACTTGGATCGAACAATGATTACACAGCCTGTGGATTCGTTGATCAAAACGGCAGTGGCCTCAGCCTTGACGATCTTGAAAATTCTCACATCTTTGCAAAAGCAACACCTTATTGGTATATATAAATTATTCACTCTGCTTCTTGGGACACTCATTGACTTGAAGTACATGCAGATTCTTTCTTACCTTTTGAGCTCGAATATGCCTTTTCCTCGGCCATTTCTCTTTGCATTCTGCAACTTGTTCTCCCAGAGTATATCACGGAAACGAGCTGGAAGAAATTTGTTGATAACTTGCTGGACTACATGATTGATCATGGAAGCGTTATTGCGAGTACACGAAAGCACGAGCTTTATTACCTCACCCGACTCCTTCATGGGATGCCTTGCCGTGACACAGGCCCTATCTTGGATAGCAACGTCTCAATCTCAGGGAGTGTCCCGCCAACTTTGTCTCCTACCGAAGTTTCAGAGCCGGGAAGCTTCATCAATTCAGAGCAACATCCTGCGACAAATTGGGACCAATACCTTGATCTGAACACTATAAGTCTTGATCCTGATCCTTTATTCGATCTCGCAATGCAATTTGGTATAGAACCGTAAATGTGGATCTTGGGAAGGCTGGCAATCTTGGCGTAGATAGTTAATACATCGCCTGTGCCAACTAGGTGTATATTGGATACTGCATTTTTTACATGAAAATTGAAGTCAGGTATACTTCTTGGTTCATAGAGTGATGTCTATTTAGCTCTAAGTATAATCCTCCCATATCTTGGCGTTGGTGATCAAAAGTATACCTACACTGAGTCTTGGTGGAATCCAGTTGGACGAGTGTCAACCTTAAAATAGATTTACTGAGTTATACTACCCAAATCGAACGACTAGTGATATGGCTTTCTGATGAACTCGTCTGGACAGTTTCTTTAACCGTAAAATCGAGGGGAAATTCACATTGGAGCAGGAGGCAGTTTACCTCCTTTACCGGCCTCGGTACTGATCTGCCTCCACTTCCTGCGCTCGGTTTCGGAAACCGACGCCAAACTCTTTTCAACTATACGCCCCGGGCCGAGCAGTCCAGTACCATCTATGCGAACGGCCAATGCGGCCGGTGTGACTTTTCACTTCAGACGTGGGAAAGCATTCTGGCATCTTACCACAATCCTCGGGCCGCGAGTCACTATCATTTCCGCAGCTGATCATGGCTCCCTCGACTACCACGCCATCAAATCTGCACCGTGCACCCATGTAGGCATACCCAGAAGTCATCCGATGAAACCCATTGGTCAAATCTGCAAGCTAACGGCCTCTTGAGTGCATGCTTGAATTGCCGAGGAGCCAAAGTGCGTTGCCTCTCCTTGCGCGGGGCTGATCGTTGCAACCGATGCGTTACCAATGAGTTAGAGTGCTTTTTTGAACGGCCTAAGAGATCCAGGGCCAGGACTAGACAGGCTTTGCAGCCAATACGGGCAGCGCGACGCACGTCCATTACGTTGCAAGACCATGACCGCAGGGTGACTGCAGTGTCGGAGCAACTGCCACCGCTCCGGTCCTTATCATCACCGTCCGCAATCGACGAAATTGCCTCGACTTCTCGAGCTCGAACAAGCTCATCCAGTCAGCGAGATGCTACTACGGTCATAGAAATCCCGCAGTCCACGCAGCAGCAACATGTGATAACTGCAGAAATCCGAGGAAGAATTATTGCTACATTGGCAACCCTAAAGGGGAAAAGGGGGGCCCCGTTCAGCTTTATTACTTCGGGAGAAAAAGAACCTTTCAATTCCAGTCCAATTGAACAAGAGAGCTCTAGCAACCAACTTTCCCAGCAGTCCAATCCGAATTCGTTAAAACTTTCCTGGTTACTACGACCTCTGAAATCCCCTGTCACAAGCCAAACAAATGACAACTCCTGCTCAGTCCCCCCATCTTGGGTAAAGATGCCTAGCTATACGTCATCCATGACACTGGGACAAACAATATTAGATCCTGTCATTGGAGGAATCATTTCTTCGGCGGCTTCTGAGGCACTATTCAACCATTTCATGGTTGAAATGAATGCGAGGTGGGAGTACCTCCTAGAACCTACCACTGACACCCATGACAGTGTACGCCAAAGAAGTCCTTTTCTCTTCGCGACAGTCCTATATTGCGCCTCCAAATTCGCCACCTATGATAGTGGGAGGATTGTCCAGGAAACAGATCCCTTTCTACAGAGCCGTTTATGCAGTGTAGCTCGAAATCTAGCAATCAGAACAATGGCGGAAGGTGATAGGGCTATCGAAGGGATGCAAGCTTTCTATCTGTTGGTGTGCTGGAAGGATCCCGACGATGATATCTCATATCTTCACACCGGATATGCATCTCGAATACTTCATGACCTCGATCTCGAGCAATGGGACGGCGACGATCGACAAGCCTTGCGGCGTAGGCGAACCTGGCTGGCCCTTTATCGGCAAGACAAACAGCAAAATCTTTTTTTCATGAGGAAGACCTCAGGTGGCTTTGCTGATGAAGAGAGCGTATCACGAATTGGTGATATTTCTACTTGGATTCAATCTCCTCACTCAACGCTGTTGGATCTCATAGCGTGTTGCAGTGCTGATCTCCGAAGGATACAGTCCAGGTTAAGAACCATGGTACAAAAGGCTTCGCCCACAATGCTTCCTTGCCTTGTGGAAGTTATGGTTATTGATCTATTAAAATGGAAATCGGCATGGCGAAATCACTTCGAGGACAAAAGGAAGGCTCCGTCGATAGACAATCTAACAGCAATTCCGAATACGATGGATCCAGGAATGGAACATTTGAACACTCTCCTGGGGCTTTGGGAACACGGCGTAAGGCTCCATGTAAGCTCTGCGATACTCCGACAGGCCTTGACAGTGTCAGTGTCAGCTTCTCTTCGATCAAGAGGCGAGTATCTGGGCTCATCTTTGGATAAGTACCCCCCTGACATTGCAGAGTTCCTATCTGCCGATACTCCAGGACTCAGTGGCAGTGTTGTGGGTGCACTTGAAACCCTCCGCCATTTACTAGCATTCCCTGAGCATCACTTGAGGCATGCTCCGGATGCACTTGTCCTTCTTGCTCCCAACGCAGCTTTATTCTTGTGTCAGCTCCTGTCTCTCCCTGGAACCGGTATCCTGGGCTCACATTTTCAGAAGACAGCAATTTGTCTTATCGAGGGCATTACCAACCACCTCAAGAATGCGATTCAATCTCCGCAAGATACCTTAACCCTGCACTCTGCCTATCTTGATTCCTTGCTGAAACTGATTCATCCCGGGCCTTCTCTGTGCATGGACCCGGTAGAGCAATCTACTCCCGTGATAACTCCATCGCATGATCTGATTGACGAAAGACTTTCTCATTATCATGAACCAGCGACCCACGCTGCCGATGTTGGGGTAAGCGGGATGCCTGAGTCTACCAATACAGAGCTATGCCTCTCTCAAGAGCTGGACTTAGATCTTCATATGCATGGGCTAGCAAATTTGGTAGATATTGACTATTTTTGGGAAATACCTCCTGTAGCAATTGACACTAGCATAGGGGATGAAGGCAGAAGCAGGTGACCAGGATCATTATTTTATGAAATACTAGCTGATTCTTCCTATGGGATGAGCCAACGCTGCAGCAATCACCAATTGGTCTTGCCATGTAGTGTTGTCTTTACGATGTGTTGCTTAGATTCTTACGGGTTTTTCGTGCGCAATCTCTCCGTTTCGTGGCTGCGCAGTCTAGAAGGCACCAGTGATAATGCCATTGAAGAACTGGCGCACATCTTGGACCCAGAGATCCGGTGCATTAACCGCCGGAAAGTGCCCTCCAGCTTCATGTTGAAATACCTTAACCACGTTTGCCAATCTAGTCATCCAGTCCCTAGGCTTTCATGGAGTTAGCAATTAACTGGTAACGTTGGTGAAGGGATCAAATTCCAGGGGCTTTTACCGCAAAGTTGACACTATGAAGACCATCGATATTGTTGGCGGCCCACTGTGAAACTCCAGTCGGAACTTTCGTCAGGGGGAAGTTAAATGCTGACGGCTGGTATGAATCTGTCAGCACAAGTCTCTGCCTGGGAAATGTGTTGCATACCTTGAAGAATTCCTTGTATGCTCTCAGACCTCCCCAGGGGCCTTGGATCCACAACATCAAGGTATCCCTTATGAGTTCTTTGGCTGTGTAGTCATACCCGTCACTCACTGCGTACCGTAAATGCCAAACCCAGCCTGCAAAGCCAACAGGAGAGTCTGCCATAGCCTGTCCGATGGCCAAAGGTGCTTGTGAATGAACTGTAGAATAACTGAAACGTGTATTGGTCCAGACCTCCATGGCTCGAATAAAATCACTCTCCTCCTGCGTGGTTTCGTTCTTTGAAAAGCGCTCGAGATCTGTGGAATTTGGAGACATGAGGAAGAAATCGGTGAAATGCGCAATAATATTGTCGGGAGCGATATTTGCCATCCAGCTTGCCACCTCCCATCCAAGATCAGTGGAAACTAAGCCATACTTTTGGTAACCCAAGGTTTTCATTAAGGAATCGAATACAAAACCCATCTGAGCAGGGCCAAGGCCAGAATACTCTGGCGCGGGGCTGAAGCCAAATCCAGGTAAGTCTGGAATGACAAGGTGAAATTTTATGTTGTCGGAGTCGCCGGAGCCGGATAGAAGGGGCTCGATAACTTGGGACCACTCAAGGTGAGTAGAAGGCCAGCCATGGAGAAGTAACAGTGGAACAGCCTCAGGATTTGTCGAATGCTCGTGAACAAAATGGAGCGGAACTGGATGGTTGAAGTCTGAGGGGCCTTGCAAGGTGATGGCGTAATGGGAGAAGTTGCTGTTGATCTCTTTCTCAACTTCAGCCCAATCAAAATTGTTGGCCCATTCATCCTTAAGCCAGGCCATATCCTTTTGGGGCGGGCCTTCACTCCATTGGTAGTTGCTGTCATCCTTGAGATCAGGAGAAAGCCGGTAAAGCTTTACTTTGGAGAGAGTTTCGTCGATAAACGCTTCATCCACCGAGATGGTGAATGGCACAGGGCTCGACGTGTTTTATGGAAAATCAAAGTTCAAGTTATTGGCTGTGGCCAAAAGAGGGCCAATACCTCCAGCGAGGAGTATCTGATGCAATTTCATCGCTACCATTCTTGATATATGCTAAATGAACTCGAGAACTTGTCATTTGAATTCCCAATGCCATCCCATTACTGCGAAGATGATGTATTTTATAGTCAACACTCAGTCATAATCTAAATTAATTGATTAACAAATAGACAAGTGATCGCCACATATGATCAGCGGTGATGATCTGTATCGTCTGACACGCGCGCGGGTACGGCTGCTACGGATTATGCCCTGGTCTCAGCCTTTCCCTTTTCGTAATTTTGTCATTTTTTTGCGAGCCGGCAAACTTCAAACTTCTCAACCACATGCCACTAACAACCAAACAGGTGGTATTTTCGGACAAATTACACAGCCCCTATGGTCTTCTAACGAGAGCAAAGAGGTTTGGTCAACTTCCTTTGCCAGGGTATCCATCACTTACCAATGCAATGCTTACATCGAGTATGATGACCAAATGGTTCCAACATGGTTGGTATTCAGTCAATTTGTAATCGATTCTAAAGGATTCCATATTCCAAAAACATAAACACTGTTATGATACGAAAACTTGTTGAGAAGACACTTTCATTCTCTCAAGGCAACTAGTTGAATCCTGCTTTCTGGTTGCTGAGGAGTAGGTAATGGGCGGAAAAGCTCATCATGGCATTAAGTCACCTATGAGTCAGGTTTATGGTACACTATAGATCTCTTCATAAATCACTCTAATCGGATTGTACTAAACAAGAAAAAGAGCTTTCGTTCGAGTTCATTCACGTATTTCCCACTGGAAGACCAAAACTTTCCTCCAAAAAGCATTTCAGCAACTATGGTTTCTATCTTTTCCTGCGTCACTCTACGTCCAGAGCTGTACGGCACAAGCGACAAAATGTGGTAATGGGCCACAGTTGTAAGCTACAAAACGTCGTCATTCCCAGTCGAAACTTCATGTTCGACGCCAAATTCTCCGGAAACACATCAGGCTCCAACGGCTGGGTAATACGCTGACTAAAACCGAGGCGCACCGACAAGGACATTCGGGATCCGAGGCAGGTGTCGCAGATACGAGAAACGCGTATCAGACGCGGGCACGAGCACGCACTCAAAACGCTGCCTTGGGAGCTTATGTAATCGCGTTTCAAGCATCGCGGAATTCCGAGGGTTTTCTGCGGATATTTTGAGTGACAACAACAAGTTGTACGCAGCAGCAAACTTGAATCGAGATTCCCGACAACAAATCGCGTGTGGCAGCAGCAGATGAACATTTCAAGTCTATAATAAATGCTTTTTTTTTTTCAGTAGATAGCCGGTCAGATTCGCAGTAATCGCGCACTTTAGTACGAGGTCGAAGGCTTGATTATTGCAATCGCGCAAGAGGTCAGACACAGAAGAATTACGCGTCGTTACCACCACAAATGCAGGTTCAATTGTACGTATGCGTAGTTATTAATAGGAAGGCATGAAGTGAAGTGAAGATCATTTCCAAATACATATTAGTGTTGATATCGATAACTTTAATAACTTGTAAATATCGTTATTTGTTGGTAATTACCTTAGGTACCTATGGAAGTGCGAAGTAAAAGAGCCAGTTGCTTGATCCAACAAGTCGTAGTTTACATGAGTTTTGGTGAACACCAAGATAGAGATTGTAAGTATAAAATATGGAAACTAGAAATATTCCCATATAAATCGAATTGCACTAATATATCAATGGGTATGCTCCTTACCGACTTGAAGTATACCTACCAATGGGTAGTGTAGGGTAGGATAACCGGGAGCCATACTGGAGTTGTAAAATCAACGCGTCGCGCGCTCCCCTTGTCCTCACACTTCCACCACCTAGTTACGCAATACTGATTAGTCAAAGCTCGCGACTAAGCCGAGATGTGGCTTAGCGTATGCATGGTCTTGGCGGTAATTCTAGTCTGATCCATATCAACAAGGTCCAGGAGACAGCCGGCACTTCTGCTGCCCGACGCGCGTCGCGGACGGGACACCAGCCTCGGCATTCTTTGGACGATAGCATGGGCCTTGAGGTAGCTCCCTGGCAAGCTGCAGCCGTCACAGAACCTGAACCTAGCCCACAATCCAATGCCGATGACGCCAGCTGTCTGTTATGAGCCCCACTGGTTTGAGGCAGACGAGCACGTCTTGCAGGCCCTGGTTTCGGCTTGGGTTCCTCGGCATACTCGCAGCCCCATTGAGCATATTCATATGCCTTCATCTTTATCACACATCATTGGCTGCACTACGTGAAAGAATGAATCAATTAACCGCCCACGTAATGTACATGGACCTCGATGCCTTGGCCCAAGAGTGATATTGACGCAGGAAACACCTGTATGAGAGTGCAATTTTGATTGCCGAGGAGCTCAGGTAATGTAGGCGGCGGGTGGGATGTCACCGTATTGTGCATTTAGTCCTCCCGTCTGCTATTTATGGATTGGATGATGCTTAGCTCGATAAATACAAAGGCTGTATTAGGCTACATATTCTACTGGTCAAGATATAGACAAGAAGTAGTTCTTTTGCGTCGCATCCAGACTCTAAACAAGCCCCGTTTCCCTACCAAAGAGAAGCCTCTTAGATGTTCTGGTTGATCCAGTCGATGTAGTTGGCAAGTCTGGTGTAGACACCGGGATAACCAGCACGAGCGCAGCCAACGCCCCAGGAGACCACACCGGCGAGAGTACCATCCTCGGCCAGGACAGGGCCGCCGCTGTCACCCGAGCAGGCATCCTTACCACCCTGTTGGAGACCGGCGCAGAACATGTTGTCGGTGATTGCATTGATTCCGCTGTAGTCGGCGGCGCACTCGGCACGGTCAATGACGGGTACGGAGACGTAGCGCAAGCTAGCAGAGAGACTGCCATTCTCGCTTGTGAGACCCCTGTATCAGAAGAATGACGATTGGTTAGCCAGTTCTGTGATGCTGTAATTAACGTGTGGTCTGGGGATTGTACGTACCAGCCAGCAACAGTGATGCTGCCAGAGGGATCAGATCCGGCAGCGGCGAGAGTGGCATAGCCAATGTCGCCGCCTTCGGCAATGGCAGAGGAGAGATGCAGGATTGCAACGTCGTTGTCAGTGGTATCCGGGTTGTAGTCAGAGCGGCGAGTGATGCTGGAAACCTTGCTGGTTGTGCCGCCGGATTGCCATTGCTATTGAATATGGGGTTAATGATAATATTCAAGACAAGACTTAATTGATAACCCGCAGCTCAGGAAAGAGATACGAGCGCATGACTAAATAAATGCAAAACCAAGAATTGTGTATGTACTTACAAGAGAACCGGCTCGGATAGTGTAAACAGAGGGGCTGGTCTGGCTACCATCCTGATTGAAGGTGCAATGAGAGGCAGTGAGGACGGTGTTGGCGCCAATGAGAACACCGCCGCAGATTGTGGAGTCGGTAGTCACGGTGACAATGTAGGGAAACTGCCCAGCGGAAGCAGGGCTTCCACCGACAATGAGAATGCTAGCTTCTTCGCGAGGAATAGCACCGCCCATAGTGAGGGCGGGCAGGGCTAAAAGAGCAGCAGCGGCGACCTTGGAGACCATTGTGAACAGCAAGGGTAGGGTTCCGAGTATAATAGGATAGATGGTAGTCTAATGGATCAAGAACAGAAAGAAATCGTTAAGAAACTGAGGTTGTCTTAACATTTATATAACAGAGACGGATCAGTATACGCCACATCTGGATGCTTTACACGGGACTCACAAACACACATGACATCTCTTTTGCCGCTTTCATCTACGAATGGCAGCTCATAAACGACTTAAACTCTTGCCTCATTGGGCCCTAGTCAAGACAAAAAAGGGCATTGTGAGAATATAGTCAGTGCGAAGGAGCGAGAGTGCATCATCTGGATAAGGGTTGTTGATGTGACAGGGTTGAGGAACGTTATGATCTGCACTATAGATTCCTGATTCTTTCCAACCCCTCCCCCACTCGTTTCAACTTGGGAGTCCTGTACTGTTTTTGGAGCAAGTCCTGCCTACATTTTTCCACCGCTGTGCATTCAACTATATCTATAATGGCAGACGTGAGAGTTTCGACACTAGGCTAGTACTGAAGTTAAAAGTTGAGAGGCCTGTTGGTGCTTTTCTGCAGTACCTATTGTTATTTATTGAGCTTATAAAAAGAACTAGAGACTGTCCAGGAGCGGCCGATGCCGCTTACTCCACGGCTTAAACACCATCCTAAATCGGATGGATTGTAATACGGGGGGGGGTCCTATTGGTAATCGCCCACTTTGGCCGGACAGAGGCGAATGATACGAATCCTTTTATACGCTGATGCGTGGCTCCCATCGCGGAGTTAGGCGGGAGAAGCCACTCTGCATTTCTATTTTCACTCCTATCTCACGCGGACTTCCTAATGTAGCAGCTTGGCTCTCTGGTGCAGGATGAATAGCTGCTCACCCTTCTTTTACACAATTACGAAACAAACGTACGCACTCAGCGAATACATGATACGATAGCCTATTTCCACATGCCTATATCGGCGAAGGAGATAAGTAATGTGCTATTCTTTTTGCCACCACCTCAGTCGGCTCCGAGCCTCCGATTGCCCCATGGTTTCCGGGATCGCAGATACTTGACGGAGAAATGTGGACTCTAAAAGGTGTTATTTCCGCAAAAAAACAAAAGAACCTACTTCATGAGATGTGTTTAAGTTGATCTGAATCCATGCCGCCTTCTGCTGAGAATAGTTATTATCATTCGTATCTATGCTCATAATGTAGAGGCAAATATCTCACTAGCTTCAGAAATAGGCAATTAATCGCCCTACACTGATCTTGACACTGAAAAGTAGGTCTATTGTGTTTTGAAGCATAAATTATTTCTAGCAAGGCCGGATTATTTACACTGCTTGATCCATTCGTATTCCTGAGGCCTTGACTGAGAATAACTTATGGTTATGAACGCTATATAAGACGGTCACTAGGTATGGAGGGAGGATATGGGTGTCTCTCCCCGTTATCAGTGTAAACAATGACGTATTGGAGCCTGTTGGGAAGCGTGTGATACTTGGTCACTATCAAGCGTTTGATTGTATTGAAAGTACTACAATGAGCAGGTTTCCATCGGAAAACAGAGTTCTTAGATTTCTCCCACTTCCGACTGTGGAGCGTGGAGCTAGCTTAGGTCGAAGGTCTGAGACACAGAATCGGACATCGTCGGCAGTGGATTCCGTTAGATTGACCAATCAAATAGTGCTTGTGAGGAACGATGTATATCAGTCCTATAAGCTGCTAAATGCTTACAAGTACCTCAACGCCCTCCCAGTGCTTATTGCATCCTCATGTTTTCATAGGTATATCTGACATAGCCTAAAATGTCTTCGATCGTCGTCATTACTCACCTCACGCTTGTCGACAAGCAGGCTCGTGACAAGGTTGCTGCCCTCCTGGCCCGTGTGGCTCAGGCTGCTCGACAGCATCCTGGTGTTGTTCGTTATGCTGTCACAATACCGCGTGATAATGCTAGTGAAGACTCAATCTCTGTTATTGAGGAGTGAGTACTGATCGTGGGTGTGTGAGAACTCTGTGCTAACATCCGGAAGGTACTCGAATCAATGCGCTTACAATTCTGTCATTGGCTCGAAAGTCTACTTAGACTTGATTGCACTCTTTTCTGAAGCCAGTGTCCTTGAACGACCCCCGAATGCTACTACCTTTGTCACCACCGCCTCTTACTCGCGCCCCGAGGTACTCTCCCTGGCCGATCCTTTCATCCTCATCGCGACTTTTGACTACGCTACCAATACCCGTGATGCCGCTCTGGACGGCTGGTCCACCGTTACCTCGGCATGCCAGCAGACCCAGAAGGGCACTCTCGTCTACGCCGTGGCCAAAGACCCCCGGAATGACGACCGTGTTGGCTCGGTAGCTGTTTACGAGAGCGAGAAGTACTTCTGGGAGGTCCACGTCCCTGGCCAGGCGGTGGTTGATAACAAAGCGAAGTACGGTGATATCCGTACTAAGACTGACTTGGCCTACTTCAAGTTGACCGGAGGTTTTCTCTTCAATGACAAGGCTTACTCTAGATTGTAGAGGTCCTTACAAAAAGAAATGCATCAGCATTGAATCAGACATGGATGGATAGGCAAGAGTAACGAAGTAGGTGATCACGTACGATGCAAACGCTCTTGCTGCTTGCGTTACTTATTGGTTTCGTTTACTCATTAGCGAGGCTGGTGTATTGAATGATACTCTAAAGTATACCCTAGCAGCCCTAGGTACTATCTTCTGAAATGAAAAACGAATGCCCTGGTCTCCTTGATCCTGCTTGCGTGTTAAACTTGATTTTACTTTCATGATCACCAACAACCCGAGGAACAGAACAACAGTTTAGGCTTCAAAGAGGAAATTCATCAACCCCCCAAAAAAAGACAAAAACATACAACAGCCGGTATTCGCTGGTCGTCACCGACCCAACTACTAATCGGCCCCTTATCCGTTTAACTAGGCGAGAGCGGACGGGATCGCGTGTTCTCGAATAGGTATGGTCGTATGTGAAAGAGGTATGTGTAAATGCAGTCATATACAGCTAGCTGAGACCTTTTGCTTGTACAAGACATGAGTACTGCTTCTCGTTGACTTCGAGTCCTCGTAATGAGGCTCTCTTGATACTTCATTGTAACCGACAAATTACAGAGGCCATAATGCGGCAAAGATCAGAATTTGTATTTTCTAATCAAAACATATTCTATACACAGCGAGCTCCATCGACAAGAACCTCAATGCCGCTAATAATCGAGCTGGCGGGCTCAGCTAGGAACAGTGCAACGTTGGCAACGTCAGAAGGCTCTACGAGGCGGCCGATTGGAATAGCCTCACACTTGGCCTTTAAGATCTCGGCGGGAACAGGTCCGTCGGCGATACCGGCAAACTTGTTGAGAAGAGGGGTGTTGCCAGAAGTAGGGCAGATGGTGTTGAATCGAAGCTGGTCGCGTGCAAACTCGAGAGCCATGGACTTTGTGGCGGAGGAGACGCCTGCCTTAGTGGCATTATACCACGTCTGGGTGGCACCAGGACGGATGGCATTCTCGGACGAGATAACAACAGTAGACCCAGGGCCGTTCTTCTTCATCTCTGGTATGAGGATTTTAGAGGCGATGAAGACACTCTTGACGTTGACGTCGAAGAGGCGAACGAATTCTTCGGTTGTAACTTCGATACCAGACTTATTTGGGTACGACCACCCGGCATTGTGTACGACGACTGATGGGGCGGCACCAAACTTCGCCTTAGATGTCTCAAGCTGAAGATAAGTTAGTAATGACCCCGGAGACATTGATTAATGATATATTGATTACTTACAGCTTTGGTCCATGAAGCCTCTTCGGCAACATTGGCCTTGATCTGATAAGCTCGCTTTTCGTCGTAGCCAGCCACGGGCCCATCGGAGGCTTGAAGATCTAGGCCAAGAACCTGGGCACCTTCTTTCACGAAGAGATCGAGGATGCCCTTTCCAAATCCCTGGGTTGAGCCAGAGACAAGGGCAATCTTACCTTCTAAACGACCAGGCATGTTGATGGTGATAGATTGGTACGTGGAGACAAGGGTATGAACAAGGGTTGCTTATTTCAAGTGGTTCAATTTAGTAGTGCGAAACCAAGTTCCAGTGATATGACTTACTTATAGCGGGCAATAAAGGCACGAATCGCGGCTTAGAAGTTGGTTATAGATAACAACATGCCGGTTATGGAAACCGACGCCCCACCTGTGGAAGATCGCTTTTCGCTTCGCCATTCGGACAATCACAGGAACCCCGCGCTAATGCTCGGGCCGGCCAAGTACAACACTTTCTCTTCTCGGGCCGTTCGGGATTGACAGCATGCGATCGCCACAAAGGCGGGGTGATGTTGTGGTAGCAGGTCAAGGACTGTAATCGAGCTGGATTTGGGGTAGACGGTGCAAGTATGTAGTTAGTTCTCTGAAGTCAGTGGTTTGATTCTTAGTTGGCTCGTCTACAAGGTTGAAACTAGGCAAATGTCATTCTTCGGTGCTCGGAAAGTGAACCCAACTGTCCGAAGATCGTAAAGTTTACTTCAAAATCTAGATTGTTAGCAAAACTAGTTGCAGGGAGAATAGAAAGTATGGGACGACACAGGGTAGATAACTACCTATTGAAAGCTCTAAGAGTAAGACCGAAGCGAATAATACCCAAAGACGTGTCTTAACGCACTCGCAGATAGCAGCATGAGAAGTCCTCACTATGGGCACTCGCTATGGGCAAGATGGGGCATGTCGGGTGAGATTGTCTCGAAGGGCCAACTCGGTAGGATGATCAGTTAGTCAAAATTTTGAGAACATAGATGTAGTAATCAGAGTAGAGGGGCTTAGCCACCTCGTATCCAAGACACCAATTACTAAAAATGCATCTCAAAGGATTGGATTCTGTCCTCTTCTATTGTTTCCTTGGAAAAGCGGATAATCCTGTCGTCATGCACCTATGTTGGATACAGCCGAATTATGACGGGTTAAGCTCCCCCTATACTTAATTGTTGATATGCTCCCATCTCGAAATGCGGAAGCAGGCATAATAATGACAGTTCCGCCTGGCACTGCGTATGTTGTCAATTCTAATCATATTCCCTTAGAGTCTCTTAGAGATGACATGCTATACTGCATCAACTTCATATCACGAGGGTTTTATGAAGCCAAGAGCGTACCTCTACTTGTGAACGGTGACATGGCCTTTTCAGCCGAGTTAGATGTTGTGAGCCTGCAAAGGGCCAAGAGCGCAGAGCTCGTTGCCAATACGAACTTGACTACTTTTCTTATATTCTAATAGTACAAAGCGTTAAATAATATACTCATGCTCAAGACTTCTGTACCCGAGCACCAAATGGTGAAAGGCGGCGTTGGATTTCGCGGCCAAGGCGCTTTCTCTCAGAAAGTGCGCCACCACGACCTGATAGAATGGCTTTATTTTCATTTGCTCGTCGAGAAAGGAAGGGAATACACTCAGACAACTCTCCGTAACTCATAGACTGCATTGATATGTTAATTGATCTCTTCTAGGTAAGGTTATTATTCTCCTTACCTTCACAACCAGGGGCAAACCATTGGAGGCGGCTACAGTTCCCGTGATCCGATTAGTGAGATCATCCTTCATACCTAGTAGCGGTTGTTAGCGGATTCATATTAATGAGCCCCGACCTATTGGGAGGCTTACCAAAGAGCTGAGCGAAAGTAACGCTGTTGGCAACATTTTTGTCGAGCAAAAGCAACCTTGACTTGGGATCAGGCGACAGAAAGCCAGTTTTATCCAGGAGCTGAATGCCCTTGTCGATGCTGTGGGCGTTGTGAGTAGCAAACACGGCACCAAAACGAGCCGACCCATTCGACCGGACCTGATCAGTGATGAGGGAGATGGCCCTTTCCATGGTGCTGTTGTAGCTGGCATCAGTGTCTTCCTTGGTTGGCCAAACCACAGAGCCTTCTTCACCAGATTTCTGTTTCCACCATGCAGCCTCGGAAACAATATAGGCTCCGCGGACCTGCTTGTAAAGTAATTTGTAGCCTTTCTCTTCAGCACGCTTTATCTGTTGTTCGAGTAGCTGCGGGTGACGTCGGAGGTAAGCCTGGAAAGAGGCAATGCAGGTCGCCGGACCCCCCAGTTTATTATATTTCTGCATAAACTCATCGGTGAGAGCATCAAGAACTGGCTGGTACCAAGACTGTTCTGCATCGATAACAACACGAATATTGTTATCACGTGCCTTGCTGATAATACCTTCCATAGTAGCGCGGAGACGAACAAGCTGATCGCGGTGATAGGGTGTGACGCCGTCGCCATCTAGAGCAGCCTCCCAGTCACCATCGTGAGGAAGACCAGGCAGTGGAACATCTTTATCGAGACCCTGGGCGGCGCGAGCCTTTAATATCGCGCGTGAGCCTGCCTCGAGAGCAGATGGATCGTTGAGGAGTCCAGTAATTTTAAGGCGAACCCAGCATTTGTTGTCAACCTCGGGATCTGAGGCAGCATCACCCGTAAACTCCTTGGCTAGCTTCGCTTGAACATCAATAGACTCTAAGACTGACTGTGTCTGCTTGAGAATAAGATTAGGATCCTTGCTAGACCCATCGAGCGTCGCTTCGATGTTGTAACCAAGTAAGGTACCGAGCTGCGCATCACGCAGCTGTCTGACCTTTGGGATGCACTCTTGAGTTGTCTGCCCACCAAGAAATTGGCTGAAGAAGGTGTGGATGATAAAGGAATTCGCAATCGAAGAGATGATAGGAACTCTGGAGACAATGTTGTACATCGTCTCACTGGCCTCGACCCAAGTGGGCGAAGCACAAAATGCAAAACTTCTAAAAAGCTCACCACGTCAACGAGATATCTGAGCCAACTTCTGACAGCGAACTCACATCCAGCCGGAAACGAGGCGGCGTAAGGGAACTTTAGAGAGTGCCTCCATGTCCTTCACGTCAGTATCTTCCTTGTCACCACGGCGTAGCAGCAACCCAAGTCCCAAAGCACCAATGCCGGCAGTTGCATACATGGTGCGCGGTTGGGACTTGAACCACTGGGCCCATGGTGGGATCTGGCGTGAAGAGGATGAGAAGCGGGCGCTGTGTCGCTGGTACAACGTTATTCGTCGGCAGGATACAGAGGGTACTGCCACTCTTATAGGGGCCATCGTGGGCATGGAGAGCTGGAAAGAATTGTTGCTCCGATGGAAGCATTCTGGCCAGTGCGATGAGATCTTCGAGAGGATTCTTTTGCCATTATAAATTGGCCGCATTCAAATGCATTGGAAGACGGCCCCCTAGCTAAGAGTTGTCTGGCTCGTGTCTCGGCCCGAGGGTTTATTAAGATTGGATATGCAGGTGGCACTAGCTGACTGCAAATGACTGATTCCGAGAACGCAGCTTTCCCTCAGTGTAAGCAGATGGAATGCGAAGCTGTCCTGATATTATAGCTACGACAAGGGTTGATAAACGTATGGATAGGTCGTCTACATCGCGGGTGACGCTACGTTTTCTCTGGTTTCTTGACCTTCGTATTCATGCCTAATGAGGAGTCACGACCCGCAAGTGGGTGACCAAGCGGCGGGAGATTAGAAGGTATACCGCGAGTTTTTGGCAGAGTGTCTTTATGTGTAACTTCCCGGAGCTTAGATAATGTAACTCCAGGGTTTTCACGGGAATGCTTAACCTGATTCTCAGTACAAAGTACTGGAATCGGTTTGTTGCTATGATCAAGCCTATCAGAGAAGCTGTCAATCTGATCCTCAATCCATAACTACTGCATCAAATACCTTTAATGCAACATTTAATGAAAATTGTGAGAGGTGTCCCGCGATTTACAGCGGTTCAACCGGATTTACGCCACAGGTCTTCAACATAGCTCTCCGCGAGTAGAGATGGAGAGCGGAACTAAAGCGGACAACCGTATGGGTGGTGGCAGCGGGGCTTGAAAAAGGGTGGGATACGGCTCGCGTGACTTTGTGTGCCGGATTCCGTGTCCGATCTTGTGCTGTGCTATGCTCGCTCCGTAATTCATGCCGACATGACGCATGGGGAATAAAACATTGGCAGCAGATACACCTAGGAGACCAAGACGGCAACCTAGAGACCCAAAGGGTTTGAGCTACAAGGAAGAATGATCAAAGTCCAGAGAATGGCTACTCGAGCTCTAGCTCTCTTGCTTGAAACAACTGAGAATTAAACTTGTACTGGGTCCGTTATCGGACTGACGACCGCTACACGGGCCATGATTCCGTCTCAGTCCCCATTTCCTCCGACCCCCGATCGGTGGAGTCTATCACATAATGAATGGATATAATTACATGGTTCAAGTCGCTTTGGTACTCACCTATCTACACAAGCGAAGAAGCCCTAGCTCTACAAGTTCACAGATCTCATCCGCCCGTCACACTTTTCACATCACTTCATTATCTCACCATGGCGCCCATGTTTAGGCAATATCACCTGTTCCCCACTGACCATGTCCCCAATTCACCTCGCCCACTTCTTCATTATAAGAACGTCTTGGCTATGAAGGGCGGCAAGTCGCACTGTGACCCTGGCGAGGTTTGGGTCATGTTTACAAACAATGAGTGGAGAGTTGCTTGGATCTTTCGATATGGGCAAACCCAACTATCCCATTTCCACTCCGAGGCTCATGAGTGCATGGCAGTCCTTTCGGGAACGGCATCGATTCGTTTCGGTGTTGCCGATCTATCAGAGGACCTTGATAAAAACACATATGGGTCGGCTTGGGAGGCCGGTGGTACTACGCTAGAAGCAGAAGCGGGTGATGTGTTTGTTATACCTGCTGGTGTTGCTCATAAAACCCATAACTGCAAGCCCGAGGCTGAATTCCGACTCATGTCTCCCGGAAACGCCCATGGCATCGAGGCAGATGATCCCAAGAGTAGCCTCTCTGCACTTGATCTTACCGGCTATACTATGATGGGGGCTTATAATGGGGGCGACTGGGACTTTGTGCAAAAGGGTGGGATGTTTGAGAAGTCCTGGGTTGTTCCCAAACCAAAATTTGACCCTGTTTTTGGTGATTCGGAACAAGGGCTGATCAAAACCTGGTCAGGCAATAATAAGAATCCGGAAGGCCTCAGAGTAAACTTTGATAAAAACGGTAATGCTGTCAACACTCCACTCTCTAGCTCAAGGCCTCCAAAGGCTCGCCTCTAGTCTTGGCGATATGAGCTGGTTTTCTGGTGTTTTGCTTCAGATGAACGGTCCTATGTAATATTGCCAAAAAAACCTTTTGGTGATGCAGACAATGAATACCGTTATTTTATCACTCAGCGACGTAATTCTAGTTTCATTCAACGTTAATGGACCTTCTAGAATGTAAGGTAAAGAACAAACAATTAGAGCCAGGCCAGCCGCTTGTTATAATCTCGAATGAAGCGTTGAGAGGACGAAAGCGTCAGTTAAATCAATGGCAATACCTCGTCGTTTCCTCGCAGAGCTTAGTGCTTTGCCAGACTAATCAGAGCTATGGCCAGGTCTCGCAAGTAATTTCTTCATACTTTGCATTTTTGTCAATGAGCAATTAACCATTCTAAACATTTGATTGATCAATCCTCCCTAATGGGTGTGGAGATGTAGATGCCGTGCGGGATCTGTCAGAAGGACCCTGCGAGTGGGGAGGAAGAACAAGTTGAACCGGAAAAGACACATGTTTGATTGGTGTATACTTCCGAATCAAAGGTCGGGTATAAGGTAGTGCCAATTTGGAGGAACTTGGGCTGTAGGTGCAAAGGTATGCTCGCTTGGTTTCTTTTCATTGCCAGAAAATTCAGTAGAGACATGGTGTATATAGCGAATCAGATAGCAATATATTCTTAGTGCTTCTTGCTACGTACTCGTTCACCTGAGGGAAGCTTTTATCTTATTCTGTACAGATTGGTACTTGAGACTCGGTTTGCATGCTTTTTTAATTACGGCAACTTGAATTCTAGAAGAAATTACTGCTACCTGTCCCTTCTACTACTTTCAAAGAACATACGTTGTCCCGTGGAGGAGAAGTAACACACTTTGTTTTGTTCTTAGACCCATAGATCATTAAGTTCCTCCATTGTCAGGGAATCGGCCAAGCCTTCAATTCGGGAGCCAGTGTAAAGATTCTCGGGACTCCATCCCTCAAAGAGTGATCCACTGGTACTCGGCAAGCTAAATTGACCGCCAAGTCTGGCATCGGGCCCCTCATCTGAAGGCAAAGCTCTGGCAGAAGTGGTGTCGTCATTGGTGTTTTGACAAAATTGCTTTCTTAGTGAGTAGGCCAGCTCTTCCACCTCTGCTTTCCGTGAACTAGCTACTAGATTTCCGCCGGCCACCATGGCGTCAAACACGTCGAGCAAAGCTGCAAGAGATGCTTCGTGCAAGGGATGTTTGGCCTCAATTTCTGAAGACATGATAAGGACAAACGCAGCTGAGTAAGCTGTCTCAAGGTCAAATGGTAAGAAATCGTCTAGTATCAATTAGGATTGCTATGGACGTGTAGCCAGAAGTTTGAGATGATGCTTTACCTAGCAGATTGAATTTCTTGAGTTGTAAGAGAATATTGGCGATCTGAACCGCAGAATCAGTCAGAGCTTGTATCAGCTCCTTGATCGAAGGCGGTATCAAAAATTCTCCCGACGGAGGAGTCGTATCTAGCCTTTGCTTATATAGGTGGAATAGAACTGGTCTTGCGGTAAGGACAATGCACTATTATGAGTGAGCACGAACGGTTCTGATCAAGGTCACAAGCATTCTAACCTGATTGTATTGTAGATTGAGATGGGCTGCAACCCGAGATATTTCACCAATCGATCGGGAAGAGAAGGAAGCTAGCTCGTCGCCCAACTCCCCAATGCATTTGAGCGTTCTGCGTATGGTAGACAAAAAGGTATCTTTGAGCTTTTCTTTCGGGCCATACACGGCTTTAAGAGGTAAGTAATCATCAACACAACACGAATTCAATGTACGTACTGATAGATATAGAGCCTAAGATTTTGGCAAGCTTGACGTGGATTGATAGGGCAGCCGAATGAAGATCGCTGTCTGGAATCCGAGGTAATGGAGCACTAATGTCCTCATTGTGAATGGTATTTGGTGTTCCCATCAAGGATGAAAGTCTTCGATCTAATGTATAGGCGGTCCACCATAGAAGGCGACCATGTTGGGCCAATCGATCTCCAACGAGGGCGGGTGGCATATCGGTGTGTAGACCGTGAGACTGAGCCATCCTCACGGCTTGGCCAATCTGCTTCAAATCAGTTGAGAAACTCTCAGAACGAGGATAACTCAGCTTACATAGGAATGAGCCGCAACTCGATGGTCGACACAGTGGAGATAGAGAGCAACAGAACAGAAGAGTTCAGTAGCTCTGACAGGGTCTCTGGATAAATATGCTGCATCTGGTAACAAATTCAGAGCGCGGGAGAAGAGCTCTGATCCTGCGGGCCTCATACCTGCTTGCTTTCCAAGAAGGGATTTCCCTAACGCCATGATGACAAGATAGTGCACGTACCAAAGGCCATGTGTCAGGGCATACTCAGAAGGGTCTTGGTGGAAGCAGTGAAGATTTTGTGAAAAGTCCGTCCCCTCAAACAGATGATAGAGTGGATATGTTCTAAATTTTGTAGTTTGCGCATAGTACAAAGCAAGCTCTAATGCAGGAAGATTGCTTATCTCCACGGTGTCAAGGCGTAGCTGGAGCTCTGGGATGATGTTGTAGAGCTGACCATCAACATGCGACTGCGTAAAAGAAGCTGGAGAAGTGTTTATGCCTGTACTCTGCGAGGCCATCTGTAGGACTTGGTAGCTGAAGCTCCATGTTGATGTGTGGCCTAGATACCTGAGTCTCCCTGAATAGTCGGACATGTAGTTCGGCTGCTTAGGAACCAGTAGATTAGGGACATCCGTGTCCTCTTGTGTCACCTTTTCTGGAGACGGCGCATTTTGACTAGTGACAACGGTACTATCGACGAGAGAATCCGAAGCTTGTGATGACGGCTGCTCTTGGAGAAAAATGATGGAAGACTCGCGCGATTTGTTATTCGGCTGAAGAGGGAGTATTAGATTTGGGTGGCAGGAGGTTGAAGAGGAGGCATCTGCTCCGGTAAAGGAGTTGATAGAAGGGTTGAGACTTTGCTGTTGGTTTTTCTCAAAGTTTTCGACCCTCTTGCGAAGATTTGCGAGAGACCTTGAGCCTTATAAGTAAGAACAACAGAGATGAGGAACTGTAACACTCTAACCTTTCAGACACTAAGATGTTGCGATCATCAGACACGAAGAAGCCTCTACATCCCCGATCTATACATGTTTTGCACGATCGTGACCCCGAGCACTTAATCTTGTGCTGGCGACAGCGTTGGCACGCGTTGGATACCCTCTTTCGACGACTAGGACCATTTTGTTGTTGCTGCATCTGGATTAGTCGAAAGGATGATGTCAGAGGAGCCAGAAAAGCTGCGCAAGAATATGGAAGAACGAGGTCGGATAGGGTACCAGGGCTTGTCTGCTCAACCTCATCCGAGACGGGAACACTCTTGCTAGAATCTCCGAGGCCGATGAGATGACAAAAGGCCGATGTCAGAGGGTCAAGAGAGATAAGAACTGACGAATCGGAAGGAGGACATTTCCGACTTTGTGCGGGGAAGCCATGTCGCAATTACATAATGCTGGTTGAGGCTATTGAAAAACCCTAGTTTGAGTTACTGTAGGTTGTAGTTTGACTCCACCTTCCACCATAGTCGAATCACCTGTAGGCTATCAGAAATACTCTTTACAGGAGGGGCATGAGACGGGAGTGATTCTCTCCGAAAAGGACTGATTGGTAGATGCGGTCATACAAACTAACGGATGTATGGACCGAGTCTGGGTCGACCTCGCGATAGAGGCTATTACGGGAAAGACTCGGAAAATACTCCGACATTGTGATATAAAATAATGACGGGATAGAATGAAAAGTATCTCCTCGCTGACAATTAGTGTCAATCTAGCAAATATCTATCAATTCAATATGACTCCTGAACAATTCCCTGGTCGAAGCCAAAGCGCTGACTTGATGGCAAACGCAACTCTACCCAACCAGTATACAGCTCCGACGCTCGTACAAAAAAGACCAATCGATGCCCCCAAGCCTTTAAAGGTAATCTACATTGGTGCCGGGATATCTGGCATCCTTGCTTCGATTTTGTTTCGTCAGACTGTCCCGTCTCTGGACTTGGTTATCTATGAGAAGAACCCAGAGATTGGTGGTACTTGGTACGAAAATAGGTACTCTTAACCTACAATGTTTTCATACTTAGAAGTATTCCTCGCTGACTCAAAAATTCCAGGTATCCCGGTTGCGCTTGTGACATTCCCTCTCATGCTTATCAGTTGAGCTTTGAATCCTCCACGGATTGGAGCCACTTTTATGCAGGTGCGCCAGAAATACTTGAGTACTGGAAGCGCTTGGCAGACAAGTATAGTGTCCGGAAAGATGTCCACTTGAGCCACAAGTGCTTGAAGGCTACCTGGGATGAGTTCCGAGCTACATGGATCGTCCGGCTTCGTGGCTAGACGTGGAGCCGCCTGTTATCTTCGAGGATGAATGTGATGTTTTCATCACTGGCACTGGTTTATTGAACGAGTGGAAATGGCCTTCCATCCCGGGGCTGCACAATTTTACTGGCGAAATCCTTCATACAGCTGACTGGCAGGAAAGTTTCACTGCAAACGTAAGTCCCAAGGAATGGTGATTGCCCGAAACTAGCTCACTAACTTTCTTCAAAAGAACAAGCGAGTTGCTGTGATTGGTGCTGGAAGCAGTGGCATTCAAGTTGTCCCAGCCTTGGTTAATAAGGTCAAATCCATGGGCCACTATGTGCGCGGCAAAACTTGGATCGCTACACAAGGCAGCGAAGACATCTTGAAAGCCCGAACAGCCTTGCAAGTCGGGGATGCTACCAATTTTACATATGACCAAAAGGAGAAGGACAACTGGAAGCAAGACCTTGATGCTTACATTGCGTACCGCAAGCAGCTCGAGTTTCGCCTACAGGGCAGCCATGAGATCTCGTACAGAGGCAGTGCTCGCCATACACAGGCTAGAGTAAGCTATGAGAAGATGATGCGAGACAGGCTCAAATCAAAGCCTGAACTTCTTGAGCAGCTTCTCCCACAGTTTCCTCCCCTTTGCAAGAGGTTGACTCCAGGACCGGGCTACCTGGAAGCCCTTACTGCCCCTCATGTGTCTACTATCTCATCCCCAATCGCCTTTATTGATGCAACCGGGATTGTGACCAAAGATGGCACTAGAAGACCGGTAGATGCTATTGTCTGTGCCACAGGATTCCAGACAACGCCAGGCTCAGGGTTTCCAATTTACGGCAGAGACCGAATTAACTTGCGAGAAAAACACAAAATGCGTCAAAAATCATACCTTGGCCTATGCACAGACAATTTCCCAAACTTCTTCCAGTCTTTTGGCCCCAACACGTTTCCGGGCACCGGAAATCTCATCATCATGATTGAGCATACCCACAGGTACATGGCCAAGATACTACATCGGCTCGCCTACGGCAATGTCAGGACCATAGAACCCAAACGCAAGCAAGTCGACAACTTTACAAACTACTGTGACGAATACTTTCAAAAGACTGTCTATACGGACAACTGTATAAGTTGGTATAAGAGCCCTGATGGAAGGTCAAGCGGACAAGAGCGGGTCACTGCGCTCTGGCCCGGAAGCAGTCTTCATGCTGTCCGAGCCCTCGAGTCAGTCCGATGGGATGACTTTGAAATGGATTTTTGTGATGGCAATGATTTTGGATGGTTTGGGGATGGTTCGGTCCGCGGTGAGCGAAATGTTAGCGACAATATTGAGGAACTGACTTGGTACATCAATCAGACTGACTTTCTGCATAATCCACTCCCTTCCAAAATAACAGAGACTCAAGAGACATAGTATAGAATTTGAAAATAACAGAGACTCAAGAGACATAGTATAGAATTTGATACTTTTCTCTATTAGTTTTGTATTTGGAGCTCAAATGATAGGCTCGTGAAATAAATTTACAAGCAAACAGCTTTCGGATGAGCCTCGGCATTGCTGTTGAACTTTACTCTCTTTCTCTTACGTATAAATCTAAGTTCTTGGATTTAATAAATAGTAGCTTATAAGAGTTTAAAATAGATGAAGAGCACCTCAATCTGAAATTATACTATTTATGTTAAGCGTTAACTGGTCACTATGGTTTACGCCCAATCATCAAATACATTGGCGAGAACAAATAGTCTTCGCCAGTTGCTGCTAACGCCGCAGCGGTGAGAGCCAGACTATCGGCCGTCTTTTTCGTGCCTGTTGGTGCGAGGCCTATACTCTCCAAAAACCCAAAGACCTTATGCGAAGCACTCAGCCCCCAACTGCTCAACCATACTACGGTAAAGCAATCAACCAGAGACTGCGCGTAGCTGATCCGGCCAGCAAACGGCCAATACCATGGGATGGCGTCCGTTCTCCTAGCCAAGTCTTCATGATGGAGGACCTCAAACCCTGCCGCTTTGATAGCTGCCAGAGCATCGCGGCGATTAGAGATTGTGTTGACAATACCGCCGCCCATTTCGAGGCCAAGACGCATGTCCCTATGGGCAGGGTTTGTGTCATCGTAATCATCGGTCATGACCCATTCATACACACCAAAGACACCTCCTGGCTTTAACACACGAAAGATTTCGCGATAGATGGCTTCGAGATTAGGAGCATGGACAGTGGCTTCGATACTGTACACGGCGTCAAACCCTTGTCTTCAAATGGCATTTGCTAAAAAGTAAAGTCAGCATATATACCCTCCAGCTGGGTGCCAGTCTGTACAAACCATAAAGTCTCCTTTGACAAAACGGACATCCTCAGATTGTCCACTCTTCGATGCGTAACAGTTGGCACGTCTGATTTGGTAGTCATTAATATTGATACCAGTGACATGGACGCCCGAGAACTTCGCGATCTGCCGTGCCGGCCCTCCTACACCGCTACCGACGTCTAGAACCTTCATGCCCTCTTTGAGATTCATTGAATGGGCCAAATAATGTTCATGACGAGTGATGGCCTCACTAAAGGATTCGCCATAGCTCGAGCGACAGAAGTGGAAGGATTGGCCCCAGCCGTATTCGTAAAAGTCAGTTACAAGGTCATAATACCTATCACCGAACCGAGTTAGCTGTTTATCAGACTTTCAAGGCAGCACCAACGTGTCCTGGAGGTTCCATTATCTCACAATTTTGTTCGCGTGGCGTATTCATTCTATATCACGTCAGTTGGTTCTCTTTAGAAGAAGGCGTCATGGTAGCTCACAGTCTGCTCCCCGATCGATTTTCCAGTCCAATACTTGAAATATCCGTCCACCGCGGATTTCATTGTCTCTGAGTTCTTTCGGAATAGTGAGGTGAGGCCACCGCGCATTGTGCCAGACTTGCCGTGCAAAGCATGGGCGAATTGGGCATCGCGCCCGTGATCTTGTGGTTCTAGAGTCTGTACAGCCATTTTGGCGAGGGCTGAATTATGAGAAAATGTGTGTCGCTGTTTGATCAGGTCAAGGGTTTTTGATTTCTTAAACTGCTCCGGATCTGATAGCGCATCATGCATAGATATACCTAGTGCTCATTGTGTCCACCCTCTCCGGTGGTTCAGACATCTGGAAAATCATTGACTCATTTCTGAGTCAGATTGACGAATATGTGTGAAATCTTCTGCTTCCTTTGCACGACTGAGACTGCCGTGCCGGCACATCAGAGACATTTACGAGGCACTTGTGTCCCATCTGAGCGAATATAATAAGACACTTTGCGGTCCTTGCGTCACGCGTGATGTTCGTATCCGGATGCACAAAGAGCCTTCCGCATCCCTTCACACTGCTAAAACAGCCTAATCCGGATGAGATGAAAACATCATTAGTATTCGACTCAGCTGTGGCTATCTTGTCCCAATTTAAACTCCATAATGAGACATGCTTTATTACGTTTTCGGTGCGATGCTCACCGAGGAAAGACTAGCGGGAATCACCAATAGCCTTCAATATAAAACAAAAACTTGAGGTGACACGTATGCTGGAGAGAAACAAATGATTCCGAAGTTTCGCACCTGTGATCATGAAGAATCTTACAAGTTTGGCTAGAGATGCCCTGCCTAGGGTTCTTCCAGACTCTCAAATCGCCGTTTGGCCTAGTGTGTTCACATACAGTATACCAACTGTGGTTATTTCTACAATAGCTGCATTTTATCTGTACCAATTCTGCCGCGGTGGCCCTAAAACTGAGACAAACTACAAGTTGCCATGGTATATGCTCCTCGAGCTTGCTATCACTACAACTCTTTTGCAATCTGACAGTGTGATCACTCGTCCAATGTAAAAAATGTTCTTCCATACAGTGTGAATTACAGCTAATGGTGAATTTTCTTAGAATTTCCCTGCTACACCGGAGTGGCTTCCTCCATGGGTTGACATCACGACATCAGATCTTGTACAAAGTCCACAACGCGGACTCAGTGCTCGCCAGACCTCACCACTTGGTCAATCCCGATCCCATTGCCCTAGCCTTGTTCCCCAAGTTCTTCGGTGTAACAGTGTCTCCCGAGCTTCGCGAAGACTTCACAGCATTTTACAAGGCTTTGACAACTGCGGTGGAGCGCGGTTTTGTCAATGAGACAGCGAGTAACATTGCAATCCAGGAGGCTAATATTCCAAGACGAATCTTCTCATTATTAAGCTTTTCCGAAAATCCGAAATACCAGCATGGGTGGGAGAAAAACGCCAACGTGAAGATTCATCCCGACTGTGTTGAAGTTGATCTAGACGCAATATTGAAGGATTTCGGTGGCCACACGTCTATCCCGATGTTGTACGGGCAAGATTTCTTGAAGAGACACCCGACGCTGCTCGATGACTTCTGGTTGTTTGACGCCTTTGCACTACCCTTCAAAGCTTTGGGCATCCCAGAGTGGGTGCCCATCAGACCATATCAGAACGCGCTCGCGGCACGGCGCCGCCTCCAGGATGCGTTGATTGGTCTCTATCGGCGCATCGATCAATATGAGAATGGTACACCTATCGACTATGACGCGAACATGGATGATATCGGGCAAGTTGCTATCGAGCGACACAGGTTATTTGCGCAGTACAATATCCCCATATCCGACCGTGGGAAATTTGAATTAGGTACTCTATGGGCACAGAACGCAAACACCCAACCCCTGATATTCTGGTTCATATTGTTTGTCTATTCTACACCTGGATTAGTAGAAGAACTTCGAAGCGAGGTCTGTGGGTTTGTACCACCATTCACTGGATCAAATCAGATCGATGACGACTCGATTGATCTCGCCGGTTTGAGAAACAAGTGCCCGCTGCTCAAGTCGGTCTTCTTGGAAACCTTTCGGGTGGTCAGCCAGCCAACTTCGATGAGATACATCTCAGAACCCGTGAGCTTTTTCGATGGTCATAATCAGCGCCATCTCCAGCCAGGGACTTGGATATCCGTCCCACATGGGGGTACACAACAAGACCCAGCTGTATTTGCAAATCCCACTAGTTTCCAACCCCATCGCTTTACTAAGCGCGACGAGAAAACAGGAAAGGCTTCGGTGGGTTACGGCAGGCTCAAGCCGTGGGGTGTAGGAGCAGGCATCTGCAAAGGGCGTGTGCTCGCAGAAAAGCAGGTGTTGGCCACAGTGGCTTGCTGCATCATTATGTGGGATATTGAACCAGTGAACCAGGATGGTTGGAAATCACCTGGGATGATTCCAACCACAGCGGTTATGCGGCCATCGCATGCAGTCCGTGTAAGAATGAAACGTCGATCTGAAGTAACTCAATCAATATAAGCAACCCTGATTCATTGCGTTGAAATGTCAAGCTCTGGCATTTGCCGAACTTTGTACTAAATTCCTCTTACGTACGTATATATTATTATAGAGTATAATGTGATTAAGAATTCACTTATAGCTATTATATATAATCAGGGGGCTACATTCATCAAGGCTATCGAAATAGGCTCTTACCAAGTAATTACAAATTGTCAATTCTCAAATGTCTCTATGTTATCCTGCTAGGAAAGATGCCTCGATCTAGAATGATTCGTCCATTATACGGAAGATTTCTTGGTTTTGATCAAACCAAGCACCAAGCTCAACACCACGGTTTGACACGCTAACAGTATCCCCATAGCTTTCAGAACTGGGTTCAATCCCTCCTACAAGCATTTCGTCGCGCTGGCCCACTTGTATTCCGTGATTTAATTGCATCTGACTCGGAAGTGGCACCCCGGCATCGGCAAACACCATCTCAAAGGGCGTGTCTGGTATGTAACCCGGCTGGGTCACACTCGAGGAGCGGGCCATGGAGCCGTTGACGTACTTGGATGCCACATTGTACATTAGTCTAAAGAGCTGACGCTGCTTTCTGTATGCGTCGGGTAGGTCTGTCGGGAGATTTTCGAGTGGCTCTACAATGGCCAAGAGGCTCTCCAGATGGTCTGGCTCCCGGGTCTCAAAGGTGCGACAAAAGAGCACAATGAAGGGCATAAGCGGTGCCGAGAGAAGGGCCCTAGAACGACTCTTGAGCAAGCCGCCCCATTGAAGATTATTTACGAGACACATACCAATGAATATAAAGCTCCATGGTACTCGGACTGACATTTTGTAACAGAGATAGGCATTTCTTGTGCTCCTCTAGACATTCATTAGCCGTAGATAGGCACTCGTCACAAAAGGCGGAACCTGTGTAGACGCTCGGCTGTATGCTTCGGTAAATCAAGGTCTGAACAGCTAGATGGGAAACTTTTTCTGCGTGCTTAACCACTTCGTACACTGCTTCCTGACCGGCTTCTCTCAAGAAGGTCATTTGTCGCTCCTGAACCTAGGTTTCAGCACATTCCAGTCTAGTCAAGAAAAGTTCAGACCATTACTACCTCGATTAGATCACGGGATTCATAGAGAGCTTGATTTTCAAGTGCTAACTCTCTTGCTGTGATCTCTTGAATGTGTTGTGGGCGGCGGAGAGCAACTGCACTGTATATATCGTCATATATCCTACCGTAAAGTGTAGCTATCTTCATCCATTTGGGCCCAATCGGGAAAATGCGGCCCAGGTTACTGTCCTCATAGTCAGCTAGTGACAGGGTAATTTCGTCATCTCTAAGCAGTGAGGATCGATTGAGCCGCAGCGAAAGCATTCTGTCAGAAATATACAACACCCGAAAGAGCCCAATGCGGCGTCGTCGGTCTTCCTTTTTCTCTGATCGCTGGGGTTTGTCACGGTGGTAGCCCAACGTGAGAGACATCTGGGCCGCAGCTGCGAGATAGGTCCAGGCCATTGATATCCGGCATCTAAGCATAGAGTTTGTCGACTATAGGCAAATCAGCTTTCCTGTCTGCCCACTTGGAAACGGTTTTTACCCACGGCCATGACTAGGGCTAGGATGAAGTCGAAGGTGCATGGCAGATTGAAAGACAGGCTGGCTAGAAGCTGATCTAGATTTGCCAGACATAATGTACCCTGAGACTTGAGGTTTCGCTTGACGATTGGATTTTTTTCCATTTCTGCCAAGGCTATAAAGAGAGGGTGAATACCACAGTGAACAATGATGAGATGCGCAGTTGTCGGCGTGCCAGAGTAGACTGTCATGACGTACTCCACAAGCTGGCTGACTGTTTCGATCTCAATTGTCCAACAGAACTGAAGCTGGGGCAATTCTAGAGCGCATGGTATTACCAAAACTGAACGTTATCCCTTTAAGAATGAAAGACCTACCTCTCAATTTCTGTAGAGCTGCCATGGTCATCTCCAGCGGAGGTAATCTGAGCCCGCCTCGGACGGAGTTTGGTGGCATTAGATGCGTTTCAAATGGTTTGGGGCGACTGAGACCAAGCTCCTGTCCATTGAGGACGTCTTTGAGGGCATGAAGGCTCGACTTGACCTCATCAGATATGTCTGAAGGATGGTTGCTGTCCAAAGCCTGCTGGGCGAATTTGGCGGCAAACGTAGCCTCGCTGGCTAACCCGGCATCACTCTCAAGGTCCGACCCCAGGCCATTGTCATTGATACTACTTTGGGGAAGAGACGGGGATACGTATGAGAATGGCGATCGGTGGTGGGTAGAATCAGCATCATTCGTTGGAGCTTTGTCTGTCGTAGGGGTAAGCGACGATTCTATGTTGTGAACAGCTAGTGAGACACGATCAAGCTTCTGCGAGAGATCGTCTAGCTTGTCGTCACTTGGTTGAGTCAGCAGCTGAAGCGAGGAACAAATATCCTTGGTCACATACTATCCGTTTGAGACCAGGGCACGTCGATGCTTGGGTCGAGGCTTAAAACCTAGTGGATACGTGCACTCAAGTGACTTTCGTGAACACGGACCGCAAGGATCTACACGGTCACATCGAACCTGATAGTGATCAGAAGGCGAACAGAAGGCAAGGTAAAGAAGAAGCACGGTGTAGTTGGGAGGCTAGGCTGTACCTTGCGCTGTCGACACTGATCGCACTGC